GAAACATTGAATGCATTTTGGAAAATTAGGGAAACCCTTGCTTCTTTTAAAATCAGAATAGTTAGAAAACATCTCTTCCCATCTAAACTCACTAGTAATTCCCCCCAATTACTACAAACTTAACAGAAACTTTCAAAATTTTGAACAGAAACTCCCTTTGTTATTTGATAAATGTCTTCCCTACTTCCTTTGAAGTTCCTTAATAATTTCCCATACTTTCTCTAATCTTCCGCACTTCTTCTATTTTGCAAACATTATTGAATGCATTTTGGAAAATTAGGGAAACCCTCGCTTGTTTTGGAAACAGAATAGTTAGAAAACATCTCTTCCCATCTAAACTCACTAGTAATTCCCCCCAATTTCTACAAACTTAGCAGAAACTTTCAAAATTTTGAACAGAAACTCCCTTTGTTAATTGATAAATGTCTTCCCTACTTCCTTTCAAGTTTCTTAATAATATCCCATACTTTCTCTAATCTTCCAAAATTCTTCTATTTTGCAAACATTATTGAATGCATTTTGGAAAATTAGGGAAACCCTCGCTTGTTTTGGAAATAGAATAGTTAGAAAACATCTCTTCCCATCTAAACTCACTAGTAATTCCCCCCAATTTCTACAAACTTAGCAGAAACTTTCAAAATTTTGAACAGAAACTCCCTTTGTTATTTGATAAATGTCTTCCCTACTTCCTTTGAAGTTTCTTAATAGTTTCCCATACTTTCTCTAATCTTCTCAATTCTTCTATTTTGCAAATATTGAATGCATTTTGGAAAATTAGGGAAACCCTTGCTTGTTTTGAAAACAAAATAGTTAGAAAACATCTCTTCCCATCTAAACTCATTAGTAATTCCCCCTAATTTCTACCAACTCAGCAGAAACTTTCAAAATTTTGAATAGAAACTCCCTTTGTTATTTGATAAATGTCTTCCCTACTTGCTTTGAATTTCCTTAATAATTTCCCATACTTTCTCTAATCTTCCGCACTTCTTCTATTTTGCAAATATTGAATGCATTTTGGAAAATTAGGGAAACCCTTGCTTGTTTTGAAAGCAGAATAGTTAGAAAACATCTCTTCCCATCTAAACTCACTAGTAATTCCCCCCAATTTCTACAAACTTAGCAGAAACTTTCAAAATTTTGAACAGAAACTCCCTTTGTTATTTGATAAATGTCTTCCCTACTTCCTTTGAAGTTTCTTAATAGTTTCCCATACTTTCTCTAATCTTCTCAATTCTTCTATTTTGCAAATATTGAATGCATTTTGGAAAATTAGGGAAACCCTTGCTTGTTTTGAAAACAAAATAGTTAGAAAACATCTCTTCCCATCTAAACTCATTAGTAATTCCCCCTAATTTCTACCAACTCAGCAGAAACTTTCAAAATTTTGAATAGAAACTCCCTTTGTTATTTGATAAATGTCTTCCCTACTTGCTTTAAAGTTCCTTAATAATTTCCCATACTTTCTCTAATCTTCCGCACTTCTTCTATTTTGCAAACATTATTGAATGCATTTTGGAAAATTAGGGAAACCCTCGCTTGTTTTGGAAACAGAATAGTTAGAAAACATCTCTTCCCATCTAAACTCACTAGTAATTCCCCCCAATTTCTACAAACTTAGCAGAAACTTTCAAAATTTTGAACAGAAACTCCCTTTGTTAATTGATAAATGTCTTCCCTACTTCCTTTCAAGTTTCTTAATAATATCCCATACTTTCTCTAATCTTCCAAAATTCTTCTATTTTGCAAACATTATTGAATGCATTTTGGAAAATTAGGGAAACCCTCGCTTGTTTTGGAAATAGAATAGTTAGAAAACATCTCTTCCCATCTAAACTCACTAGTAATTCCCCCCAATTTCTACAAACTTAGCAGAAACTTTCAAAATTTTGAACGGAAACTCCCTTTGTTATTTGATAAATGTCTTCCCTACTTCCTTTGAAGTTTCTTAATAGTTTCCCATACTTTCTCTAATCTTCTCAATTCTTCTATTTTGCAAACATTGAATGCATTTTGGAAAATTAGGGAAACCCTCGCTTGTTTTGAAAACAGAAGAGTTAGAAAACATCTCTTCCTATCTAAACTCACTAGTAATTCCCCCCAATTTCTACAAACTTAGCAGAAAGTTTTAAAATTTTGAACAGAAACTTCCTTTGTTATTTGATAAATGTCTTCCCTACTTCCTTTGAAGTTTCTTAATAGTTTCCCATACTTTCTCTAATCTTCTCAATTCTTCTATTTTGCAAACATTGAATGCATTTTGGAAAATTAGGGAAACCCTTGCTTGTTTTGAAAACAGAATAGTTAGAAAACATCTCTTCCCATCTAAACTCACTAGTAATTCCCCCCAATTTCTACAAACTTAGCAGAACGTTTTAAAATTTTGAACAGAAACTCCCTTTGTTATTTGATAAATGTCTTCCCTACTTCCTTTGAAGTTTCTTAATAGTTTCCCATACTTTCTCTAATCTTCTCAATTCTTCTATTTTGCAAACATTGAATGCATTTTGGAAAATTAGGGAAACCCTCGCTTGTTTTGAAAACAGAATAGTTAGAAAACATCTCTTCCCATCTAAACTCACTAGTAATTCCCCCCAATTTCTACAAACTTAGCAGAAACTTTCAAAATTTTGAACAGAAACTCCCTTTGTTAATTGATAAATGTCTTCCCTACTTCCTTTGAAGTTTCTTAATAATTTCCCATACTTTCTCTAATCTTCCAAAATTCTTCTATTTTGCAAACATTATTGAATGCATTTTGGAAAATTAGGGAAACCCTCGCTTGTTTTGGAAACAGAATAGTTAGAAAACATCTCTTCCCATCTAAACTCACTAGTAATTCCCCCCAATTTCTACAAACTTAGCAGAAACTTTCAAAATTTTGAACAGAAACTCCCTTTGTTATTTGATAAATGTCTTCCCTACTTCCTTTGAAGTTCCTTAATAATTTCCCATACTTTCTCTAATCTTCCGCACTTCTTCTATTTTGCAAACATTGAATGCATTTTGGAAAATTAGGGAAACCCTCGCTTGTTTTGGAAACAGAATAGTTAGAAAACATCTCTTCCCATCTAAACTCACTAGTAATTCCCCCCAATTTCTACAAACTTAGCAGAAACTTTCAAAATTTTGAACAGAAACTCCCTTTGTTATTTGATAAATGTGTTCCCTACTTCCTTTGAAGTTTCTTAATAATTTCCCATACTTTCTCTAATCTTCCCAATTCTTCCTATTTGGATATCGAGATCATGAACATAAACTAGGAAAATCTTGAAGGTTTCGTATCACTCACTTGTTCAGTATAAACATTTAAATATTTTGAAAATATTGACTACTTTTTAACACGTTGAAGGACAGTGAACATTTCTGTAAGATACCAATATATGCAGACGCTGGACGGCGTTCTGTTTCTATTTGTGGAGAGGATTGAGAATGAGAATAAATTTCAAATGTGTGACTACGGCACTGATATTCAAACGTATTGTAACAGTCGCCATTTACATTAAATTGTATGGTTAGTGAGTTCTGAACTTTGAATATAAATCTACAGGAAGGAGCGTTTTCTACCTGTCACTACAGACAACGCAGGGACGGAAACGGCCATTTTGAGCCTCCAAGTATGGACTCATCATTTGTTTTGGTGGTTCGCTGTGTCCTCATTCAAGTGGATGTTTAATGGATTTTAGAGGTTTTAAGTGATAATAAGCACTGGGATTAGTGCGAAACGAGCGCGTCATAATATTGACAATCATATTTAAATAAATATACGCCACTGCCAAACCGGAAATACTAGTCGGCCATATGCAACCGCCACATATTTTGTTCGCGCAGATTCGAAGTTATGCTCCTTCCTGTAGTTTTATATTCAAAGGTTCTGAATGATAGAAAGTGTCGACACTTTTTACACTAATGACACTTTGGCGCTCGTTGATTGGTAAGAAAAAGTTTGACGTACACTTTATTTGCGTTTGGAAATAATTTGGTGCCCGAATAGTGTAAAGATGGTGACACACCGTTCACTCGGTACAAAATTATGGTGTATTCGGTGTCACACTGCCGATTACACCTTCATCACGTGATATAACACTGCACTACACCAACACCGCACCAGGCACTGCACTAAAATCCCATTCAAAACTCAACTGGTAGATACAAACGCTGAACGGCGTCGTGTCATTTTCAACCATCAATCTGAAGATGCATATCAGCGTTGTGTCACATCACAACTTCAGGAAATGACGCTGATCTGCGTCTTTTTCCTTCAACGTGTTAAGTCACATACAATCTAGTGACTCCCTCTTTAATCTGTACCAATAATAAGGACCACATCAAAGTAAGAACTTCTGAGCAAAGTTAGATAGATTAAGGGCCGATACTTTTGATCTCGATTAACGACTTTGACACGTCATTAAATTTAACAAGGTTTTGCATGGGCCAAGGTCTGTAAGTATGATGTGGTTAGAGCACATTCAAACCCCTATGATTATTTTTAACGGCTGTCAAATTCGAAAAATAAGAACAAAAGTACCGCCACTGGCACTAAGACTGTTATTTCAATAACCAAACAACTTTCCTTGCTTCTTCTATATTTCCTCAAATGAAAATAAAAACTTCCCAGATGATAAAAATGATTCATGTTCAAACATAAAAGTTTTGAAGTTTTGAAACACTATTACACTCATCAGTACACATTTTTAAATCGTATTAACAATGATTTTTTTTTTGTTACAGCTAACCATTGGTGCACTTAGTTCCATAGAAATGCAAAGCAACTCGAAATTTTTGATGTCACCCCCCATGTGTAGAAGTCCAAAATGCTGTAAAGAAATGCTTCATACCAAATAATCAAATATAATAGCTATTTAATAATTTATTAATTTTGTAAAGTTTTCTATGTATTGAGTAATATATTTGTTATATTAAAAATAAGACTGCCTAAAACGATTATTTTGTGTGCTCGTACCCAAGAAAATAGAATCACTAATTAAACAATAACCTAAATTCTATAACCTCTCATCAATACTTTTAGCTAATTGACACACCGCTGGATGCTGATTTAAAGCGTTCATATAAATATCCAGCTCGTCTTCGCTACTCTCATAATCACGAATTTCGTCTTCATCAGGATCTTCACTGTCAAAATACTTATCTTCAGCATCATGGTCCATCTCACTTATATTGTCATAGCTGGAATTATCATCCACTGTGCTGTAATCGAAATAATCCGAATCCTTTCCTTCAACAAAGTTTTGATGCATCGTTGAAACAAATTCTTCTTTTAGTAGTAGCCTTTCGGTCATAGTTACCATTGGTGTAGATTTTTTGCTTTTTGTAGCCTAAAAATCGCATAATTGCATTATTCTTGATTGCAAATGATTAATTGTTTTTCACCTGAATAGTGTGCTCTTCAAATTCGCCCCATCTTGATGTAGAAGGCCTGGCGCTTTTAACTGAAACTGAAATTTCTTCAACGTCTCTTTCTTCGTCTGACGAATCACTTGACGAATCGCTTTCTTCCATTTGACTGTCTTCTGTTTGCTGCTGAAGTTGTCTTGTGAGTTCAGCCTTATTTCGCTCAATGCCTTCCATTAAAATTTTTACCAAAGTCACGTCCTCTTTCATTTCGTATTTGTCCCTTTCTCTTTTTTCATCTTCTGACAGATATTGACCCACCAAATGTTCGTAGAGTAACGGGTTCCTTTTCATCATTTCAATTTCCGAAAAATAAGAATTTTCCTTACTCATTTGTTGCAATGCTTCGTAGCGCCTATTTTTGACTTGTATATTACGTTTCTTGGTATTGTTTGTTTTCAAGTCTTGCAAAACCAATTCGATTTCTTTAAAGTCTTTGGTAAATTGGTCAAAAAAGTTCAGTTGATCTTGTCCTAAATATTTGCCAAACTTCATTAGGAAACTGGTTTTATTTTCATTGAAAGTATTTAGAGCGATTACGGTTTTTTCGCTGGCGTTTAGCTCGGAGTCACCTCTCTGTTGGCTTTTGAATATTATGTCCGAGTTTGCTACTAGAGATCTTATGATGTTGTCTATTTCGCTGGAGACTGTCATATTTAGATTCTCACTAACATCCATTATGAAAATCCTTTTGGAATAGAAAAATTAAAATACTTAGTTAAAGAGTAACTGCTGATAATTGACCATGCTCATTCAGAAACATCAAATTTATCTCAGGAACTTCAAATAAGTTTTAAATTTTTTGGAATTGTAGCCAATGATAAAGTATTATATTGAAAAATAACTAGAAAGGGTATTAAATGACAACTCTTCTTAAGTCAGTAAGCAACTGGTTGTACGAGATGACATAAAGATCCAAAGTTTCTGAGTTAGCAGCTCGTATTAATCGAGTGATGGGAGAGTTGAAGCCATAATTTGTCCAATGGAAGGGTTGGGTAGATTGGTAAGTATTGCGTGTTTCGCGGAAGGACATGGAAGTTTAGTCTTTGTAGTAGGTGTGGGTCGTAGGTCGTAGGATCTGTAATTGATGATATTAAACAAAAATTTCATATTGTCACAACCCCTATACATTTCGTCGTGGGACCTCACAATAGGAGCGTGACTTGGGGGCGTAGGTGGGGTTCAGGTAGAGAGAAACTGGCTTGGTATAGGTATCGGGTCTTCAAAAAAAAAAATTTTTTTTGAAGACCCGATATAATAAGATAATGTATTGAATAATAATATTACCCTAGAAATAGTATCATGACGTCTCTTCTACGGAGGGACGTACTACTTATAGGCCACTCTGTATTATGTACACTCTGTACACTTGGCGTGACTGAAGACTGAAGCTGGGTACGAGACAGGTCCAGAAGGGCGTTTCCCAATAAAGGTAGTTTGCACTGGACCTAGTCTGCTGCGTTCAATGCTCCCAGAAGAAGCTAGGTTTGAGACAGGTCCAGAAGGGCGTTTCCCACTAAAGGTAGTTTGCACTGGGAGGAGACTTAGCTAGAGGGGCTTTTCACATTTGAGGTACTTTGCACTAGCCTTAGTCTGCCGGTAATGGATTTCGGCGAGGTAATAATACCAAATTAATGCCGAATCGTCGACACACTTTAGTAAAATTGATGTACAGAGTGGTATTTACTTAAGTAGTTGACAATATGTTGTCTCCGGCGTATTGATAGGGTATTCATGTTGAGTGAACTCTCCACAGATCAGCATAGTCAATCTGCTCGCTGGGTATGTTTAGTCATAGACCTAAAACTTATGCTGGATATGTTTGATTTTATACATCTGCACTGCATAATAAGGATTCCTGACAGAAGAACAATACTCCAAGTGCGATCTATGACATAAGAATCGTGCACTTTGTGCCAAGTCTTTCAAATTTGGTATAGTCTTAGGTATGGTCTTGAGGCTTTAGGAAATTATCGCAAGCAACTTGTGCGTGGCTTCCGGTGGCCTGTTAGCTATAAATCGAATATGGCCGGTATTTTCAATAGAACGCGTTTTTTGGGACTCACTGTAGCTTCTACACTCGCTTCTACATTAGCCGAATCCATTATATCCAGAGTATTGAATCCTCCTTCTTCAGAATGATACTAAACATCTTTTGGAATTTTATAAACTCTAAGCGCAAGACAAATAAACTGCCTGGCGTCATAAAGTTCGATGATGTTTATGCTGAAATGGGGCCTGAAGCAGCTAACCTTTTTGCCGATTATTTTGGTTCTGTTTGCTCTATCCCCAAATAGGAATGCATAAGTGGGATTTTATCAAACAACATTATCAACATTAGCAACTATCACATTTTAATCTCCGATATTTATACTGAATTGAATGGTTTAAAGACAGACAAGAGGCCCGGACCTGACAACATTCATCCTCTTTTCCTAAAAAAACTGCTTATTTGTTCTTTCTAGACCTCTGCAGATTATTTTCTATGAATCATTGAAACAAGGCCACTATCCTGGATTTTGGAAGACTAATTATGTGGTTCCTATTCACAAGACTGGTGATAAATCCGATTTCCGCAATTACAGACCTATCAGCATTATGAATGTGATTCCAAAAATTTTTGAAAAACTTGTTTCTCGGTACTTAACTTCGGCGTTGTCGACGGTGATAATTGGCGAGCAATTTGGATTTTGCCCCCGGAAAAACACAGAACTAAAGGTCTTCGATAGGGTTCCCCACCAGCTTCTCTTGAACAAGCTCAGAACACTGGGTATATCAGGTCCACTACTTACTTGATCGTACCCAACTGGTGAAGGTGAATAATTTCCTATCCTGTGAAGTTTCTGTATCATCAGGAGTTCCTCAGGATCCTATGTAGGTCCGCTTCTTTTCAATCTATTTATAAATGATATTTCCAATTGATTTCTTCTATTTGTGGATGATTTGAAGCTGTTCGGAAGGGTTGTTACTTCTGAGGATTGCCAGTTGCTGCAACATGATCTCAAAAGATTTACACAATGGTGTCGCAACAATGGAATAGAGCTCAATGTGTCGAAGTGCAAGCTGATGAAATTTTCTAGGTTGCGTCATCAAATTAACTTTAATTGCCTTATCAATGGGGAGATTCTATCGTCTTTTGCGACCATTAGTGATTTGGGTATTACTCTTGACCCGGCTCTTTCATACATAGAGCATACATCGAATATAATAAGCAAGTCACTTATGATGTTGGATGGGTTCAATTAAAAGAAACTCAAAAGAGTTTCTCATCACCATAACCTCTCTTAAGATTCTCTATTGCAGTCTTGTTCGAGCAAGATTGGAGTATGCCGCTTCAGTTTGGAACCCCTTATATGCGAATACCATACACAGACTTGAACGCGTGCAGCGTAAGTTTCTGCATTACATGCATTTCCAATTCTTCAATAACGATGATTTCCATTATGAGTCTCTGTGTCGTAGGCTGAACCTTTTAGCGTTGTCGATAAGAAGACAAAACAGGGATCTTGACAATCTTTTTAAGATTCTTAATTCTGTCAGATTGCCCTGACTTGCTTGCAGAAATAGGCCTTTATGCTCCTACTAGAATGACTCGAAGCTGCTATATATCAGCACACTCTTTCATTCCTCGATCAACTGCTCTTGTTAACAGATTTGCTGATCTTGACTTCCGCAGTCATAAATTGTTTTTGTCTCAATTAGCTGGCCTAGAAGATGTTTAGGGTTTAGGTATTATTATGTTGTTGGTGAATTGGTAATTGTAATTTTTCCTGGGCCTTTTCCAATAGTTGTGGCCACACTTTTCGTCAAGCTTTTTATTTTTTCCAGAATCATCGAATTAGAGGTTGAATAATGGAATTGATTTCCTTTTGGTAGGGTTAAAATAAATGGTCAATTAATTTATTAATAAACAAAATCACAACATTTACATTAGAACAGCTGATTGTCTGATTCGATTAGATTGATTAGATTGACAGCGCTTCAAATAAGGTCAATGACCGGTACCAACTTAATTTAAAATAGTCCCATGCCCAACTACCATCAAAATTCCCCAGACTCGCCAGAACCCTTCACCTTGGAGTTTTGACACAACCTTTTTAAAGGACATTGAAGGGACAAACAGAGGTCATTCAGGTAGAGGACTTTCCATGATTAAGTGTTCGAGAAAATTCCTCAGGCATATTTTGCTGATTTCTGAGTTGTTCATTTTCGCTCATAGATCTAGGGTGGCTAATCCGTTATTTTAGCGCCAAAGCGCCTTGCTATTCCAGTTCCTAAAGGCCAAAGTATTTTGGTAAGTGGTTTTTCTTATTAGTCTTCTCTGTGTTCCTCTATTGCCTATGTATAAGCATAGTTTTCTGTTAATTATATGGTTAAATTCCGAATATTGGACATACCTACCTATCGCTCCACGCCCAGTCTCATAACGTGCATTTGTTTCAGGCCTTCAGTCGTCAAGCTTTAGTCCTTCCTTAACTTTGAGTAAAGAGGTAAACGTTAAGCTTGCTGTATAGTGTATATTTCAAGTCGTACCTCCTGTCTTCAGCCTCCGCTAGACAATTGGAAGCTTTAGTGACTTCTAGTTACTGAACTCCAGTGCCCAGGGCCAGTTGCTTCTTGTTGCGGCCCTGATCCAGTGCCAGGCCATCGGAAACACTGGAAGATATCAATCCAATCCTTCAGGTTTCCCTCAAGGGATCAGGGACTACTCAGGTTTGATAAGTGTGTTGTATTGTCTCAATATCTGGAACCTATCAAACCTTACCAAACCCTTGTTGGAATAAATCACCACAGCGACGCAGTTTTCTATTACAATATTAAAGCTTTTCAGGTTATGTGTTGTTATTTCAATTTTAATTAATTATCTATATTTCCTATATTATATGAAACTTGCCCTTCAGGTTATGTAGGTATTGTAACTTCAATTTCAATTATTTATCTATATTACCTATATTATTCCATAATATTAAATTTGCCCTTCAGGTTACGTATTGTTACTTCAACTTTAATTGATGATCTATATCTCTCTAATATCCCATAAATACATGCTGCACTGAATTTAGGAAAATACTTGTACACTGGGGTTAAATGACCATTTACGAAGGTACTGCATTTAGTAAGCTTGTCTATTGATTTACATTTCAGGTATTATTGCCGTTATAAGTGTTATACAATACTCTTTACTTCTTTATTTAGGGACTCAAGTTGAGTTAAATTATTGTGAATACTATTTTTAGAACGTAAGGTTAGGTACTCCTCAGTGTTGCCAACGGGTAGTTATCAAAATGCTCCCCATTTGTAGTGAAAACGCTCACATTGTGCTCACATGCACTAAAAATAACGTCAATGTCAAAATGTCAATAGTTTTCGAGTTTTCCAGTATTAAGTATGACATTTGACATTTGACTACGGGATCACCAGGCTGATGTACATTGTCGTTTTTCAATCGTGTTCATTAGAAAAAAATAAATAACAAACAGCTGGTGATTGGCTGTTGCAATCCAAGGAGAATACACACTCTAATGCCTCATTCTGACTTGCGCGAAATTCGCTCTTTTTTGACATTCCCTGCGTTTTTATTCTCATCAAATTTTACTGATGGATTCACCATTCTATGTCGGTCATTGTCATTTTCCATTCACTAAACGAAGATAGCTAACTCATCGGAGAAGTCACCGGTTAGAATAGAAAAGAGGGGATATCTTCGACAATTTGACGTTTTATGCGCGTATTAAACATCAATTTGTCGATGCAATGTCAAAAAAGAGCGAATTTCGCCCAAGTGAGAATAAGGAGTGCTTATCAGCCTCGTTTTTGGTAATCGCCGCCATATTGGTGTGATACCATTTCTGACGTCATAACTAAGTCGTCAGCTGTTTAAACAGCCTACGTCAAGAGTCAAGGCAAGAAATGACATTCTGTCTACGTCACAACTGGTATTTTGGCGTGGGGGGGATTTGTTACACAGAGGCCTTATGACTCTTATGAGGATAGGCCATCCTGTAGTAGTAGTGAGTGTGTATCATCCTTGAATGGAATCAGCGTTTCTAAAACGGCCTCTTGACAATCTTGACACGTGACGTGACATACATAGTTCTTTTCTAAAAAGTTAGGCGCTTGCTCTTTGCTTTGCCACGAGTTATGACATGGCATGGCTCTCGTGTTGGGACGAATTTAATTTAATTTTTATTTTTTTCGGTTAATAAATACCAAAAATGCTCACATCTTGCCAATGCTCCCATTTTTACCCCCAGATATATCAAACGCTCACAAATGTGAGCAAATGCTCACACATGGGTAACACTGGTACTCCTAGTCCTAGTCGATTTATTTTGTTCTTGTTCTGGTTCTAGTGTTTCAGGAGTGCGTTCAAGGACAGCAATGCTAATGCCAAAACCTACTTTTCCCCTTCTACCAGCGATGCCAAATCTGGTGTGTGAATTTGCTGGAACGCTAAATACCGTTTCTACGGAAGCCCGGTCGTGCAATCTAATTTGTCTTCCGAGTTCTTAGTTCATAGTTCTGACGTCACAACTCCGAATTTCTGATTTACTACGTTATAACTCGGAATTTCTGATTTTCTACGTCATAACGTAGTACGAGTATATAGCAGTAGAAATGTTTTTCTTATGAAAAATATGCGTAGAAATAGCAATTTGGCGACATTTTTTTCTATCTGCTGTTAAAATTAAAATATGGCAACCCTGGTCGCGGATCGCTCTCTTGATCCTAGATGTCAGAGACGTCTATCTGAGTCCTTATTCTTGAAGCAGGGGACCAGCGTCGAGAATGATTGTTCGGTCTTCGTTACTTATAATCATTTGCATATCATTGAGAAAGACGGAACACTTGTTCTCCTGGGAACGCTGCTCCCCTATTTCCAGAATAAAGCTGGATTTATAGTGTCAGTATCAGTAACAGTAGCAGTAACAGTAAAATTTTAAAACACGGCCTACCGTAAAGCCATTTATAATTCACTTAACAAACTTAACAGTAAAACTTAAGAAATGGTTATTTTCATATCTGTTCTTAAGTTTTAAGTTTTACTGTTACTGTTACTGATACTGACACTATAAATCCAGCTTAAGGACGCTGCGACTATTATCTATTCACAATGTAGTCCAAAGGTACAGGTAAAATTTATCACCTTTCAATGCTATTTGATAGGGAATGGTGATAAATTTACCTGTACCTTTGGACTACAATTGGAATAGGTATGTCATTGGTTTTCATTGAAACCTGTCCTATCTGCCAGTTTAGAAAACAGACAGATAGATATATCGAGGAACCAAGGCCAATGATAATAACATTATATAGGGATATAAAGAACCGACTGGACACAAATAAGAACCAACTTGATGTGTGTGAATGAGCCTCTCAAAGTCCACGGATCAGAATTTTAAACAAATATAAGTAACACTTACCTAAAATGATCATTTAGGGTTCCAGTCCCCAAATAGTGATTCTTAGAAGTCTCCTTCAAAAAATTATTGCACTTTCTATTTTTTATATAATGGTATGGTATAGCAATAAAAGTCAGAGAAGTTTTTGAAAAAAATCCAGATTTTTAATTCAAATAGATAAACTGATAAACAAACATTGAAAAAGTCAAAAAAGTGAGGTTATAGTCAGATACTGCACTTCTAGTTTATCTAAAAGATTATAGATGGCCATATGGCACACATTACAAGGTATTGGGTCATTAAAGGTGCCCCTACAAGTCGAGCCACCATGTTGTGGCAAACCCAAATCAATTTTTTTCCGTCCTACAATCCTATTTTCAATTAATTTATTATTAGTTATTAATGCTTAATTAAAAACGCCTCTAGATCACTCTTGAGTTTGTCCAGTATTTTGCGTGGCACCCATTCTAGCAGGATCCTGACTAGGATAGTGCACTGTGGCTTTTGGAGGTGGCACCGTCACATCCCCTAATTGTGCCCCAGCTGCCGCAGTACTCGTACTAGTACTAGGAGGTGTAAACGGTGGCAATTGTGGTGGACCGTGATTGAAAAAGAATGGTGGTAAAGGGGGAGCGCCAAACATGGGAGGCACCATCAGAGAAGGTGGTGGAGGCATGGTTGGCAATGGAATATGACCAGGTTCTAAATTGAAGAAGTTGTTGCTGAGTTCTGGAAGCGCACCTGGCAGGCCTGGGACTGCGGGATAAAGTTCTTCAACTTGTTGGTGTACGTGTCCAGTACGACCTTGAGAGCGGCCCCATTTAATGGTTAACCTTCTTCCACCTAAAATGAGCTTGTTGAAGGTTTTTTCAGATGCGATTTCAGCAGCAGCTCTGGTAGTGAATTGGACAAAAGCACATTGTTGCTTGGGCACTAAGCTGACTGTTCTAATTTCCCCATACTGGTAAAAATGATCCCTGATGTCACTTTCGGTTAAAGTACCCAAATTACCCAAATACAAGGTAGTAATAGTTTTGTCATCTGGTGCTTCTAGAGTTGGCATTGCTGCAGCTCGTTTGAGTAATTTGTCAGCAACAGGATCATTAACACCATAGTAACGATCTCTAATATTTTGATCTGCTAAAGGATCATCAGGATCTGTTGGTTTTTCATGTCGGTAAGGGCACTCTTCTCCTCTTCTGCATTCACCTTTGACCCAAAATGAGCAAACATGGGGACGATTCCTTTTATAATAAGGCGCTGTTCTTGCCAGTCTTATTAAAAGATCATTGGGCTCATTCAATTTGGCATTCAAAGAACCTGGATCTTGTCTAGCAAGCTATAACAAAATACTTCTATTATAAATATACTTATGCTAAATAAATAACTTACATCTCTTTCCATGTTTTGTATGTAGAATTCCTTATTGACATCACTTTTTGGTAAGTCATCTTTAAGCTTTAAAGCAGCATCTCTGACTTGTATTGGTAAGCCATACTCTAGATCTAGCAAGCAGGTTTGGCATACGTTTTTTAGTTTGCTACAAGTCTGGCAAACCTCTGTTTTCTTGAAACGCATTTTGGCACCCGGACACCATCTGAATACTGTGAAAGGTCTGGAGCAGATTTTGCATTCTTTGCCATACTTTTCTTTGGTCATTCGAATGTAGGGATTGTCGCCCAAACATGTTTGACATAAAACTGGAAAATCCTGGAGAAAAAGCCAATTTCAGGGGTTTACTTGAATTCTAAAGGGCGAAACTTACAGCATCCTCCCAGTTTTGTCTGTTGTAGGTATTGGTGGTTTTCGATGTGGCCATGGTTGAGTAATTTTAAAAAGCAAAAACTGAAAAGCTACGGTTGACCTAAACTGAAAATGATTCGTGTTTATTCGCTTTAGTACGTCGGACTCGCTTGAAATCGGATAAAAACTTACATAAACAATAAAATAAAGTTAAAATAACGAAAAACACAACTAGCATATCCAATTTTTATTAGATACACGGATTTTTATTTTTCCTTTTCCTTTTCCTTGAGAAAATATGACAATTGACATTCGACATTCGATTATTAGATGTTGCTGACGTTAGTTGTATTACTTTCACACCTAGGAGGAGCTCCGGAACAGCTCCGGGGCTTCACGCGCTTATTCCTTTCGAAAAGTGTTTGTTGCACCACGCATATGTTCCCTGCAAATCGGGGGCGACTAAGCACCGAAGCGAGTAGCTCGAGTGTTTCAAGCTCTTGAAAGGAATACAACTGTTACAACGGGGTTTTCATAGGTGCTTTCCAGTGACCCATTTGAGTTACTCCTGAACAGCTAAGAAGTGCTCCACAATTGCTTTGCGCGTTCCAGTGCTTAGGGCGGATATTATAAAACTGCTTTGACAGTTAACTTCAAGTTAACTTTTTGAATTACATGTAATTCCAGAAGTTAACTTCAAGTTAACTCTCAAAGTAGTTTTATAATACCCGCCCTTAGAGTGTCGTACACTTGAACCACAGCTTACTATAACAGCTGTGCTTGAACTACTCATTTCTGTTAATATCCCCTAACCCTCATGAACCAACCTTTATTTCGGTGTTCCATGCTCTGGTTTTTTTTTTAATTGATAATTTGAAATTGAAATTAAACCACTAGAAACCTGGTACGTCACGACCAAGGACGATACACACTACTGCTACAGGATGGCCTATCCTCATAAGGCCTGTGTGTAACAATTCCCCCGTACCCCCCTAAACTCCAAACAACTAGTTGTGACGTAACCAGCATGGCATTTCTCGTCTTGACTTTGACGTAGGTTGTTTAAGCAGCTGACGACTTAGTTATGACGTCGGAAATGGTTGAAAACCAATATGGCGGCGATTACCAAAAACGAGGCCGATAAGCACTCCTGTGTATTCTCCTTGCGTCATGACGTCATTTTCATTATTGACCAACCTAGATTTGTTTCATTATTTTCATTATTAACCTAGGGAGAGAAATTAATTTTTTTCCCAGAAAAATAGATTGAATAATGACTACTTCTCAGGTTAGTAGTAAAAAAAAAAAAATTATCAAGCCTTGAGGCAAATGAAAATATTCACAATATTCTTTAACTTTTGAAATGCGATAAAATTTGATCAGTGGTTCTAATCACCTTTTTCCATTTACAACAGATTGATTAGAATGATACATTTTAATCAACCTCCTGTATGTTTTGGGTACAGAAAAAAAAAGTAGAATTCTTGAAAACAACCCTTTTATTTATTGCATGATCAAGAAACTAACAAACTCGGATGATGCATCCAAATACATAAGGCATTATATGTAAAAAATAAATAATCTTATTATGAGTACAAAAAAAAAAATGAAATGAACCATAATGAAACAAAAAAACTTATGAGCCGACAATGATGTTATTAATGGGGATATGGATCAGCTTGACGAAAAATCCAATGAAGCCCATTATGCAGAATCCTATAGCAGTGGCAATTGCGATTTTCTGGTATTCTGGAAAAAAAAATCAATTATGTGAATCTTTTGCCATTTGCCTTATTATTATGGATAAAATAAAATATTCAGATTTCTATACTGGCAATATTGGTAAGTAGAATGTAGAATACTTTATATGCTTATGACTTTTTCTTACCTTTCCTGTCTGGTTTAGTGCACCTCTTCACCAATCTGATGGAATCTTTGGCGAATTGACGACCAGGTTCAACAAATTTCACTACTTGATCCATTTTTGCTGTAAAAAAGTTTTTAAATTTAGCATTATTGAATTGGGGTACAATTATTATATTTATAACAGTAAAAAAGAGAGAAATTTCCAATGAAATTTTGAGGAAATGAGCAAATACAAGCAACAAAACTTACCTTTATAATTACTGGAACTTGCAGCAACAGAGAGCAATAATAATGTAGACTGTAGAGTCAGATTTTATTTAACAAAAAGTACTCGTTGCAGAATATGCAGAAAAACTGACAAATATTTTCAGCAATCTTCCACCTCACCACCAAAAATTTATATGACGTGGAGCCAGTTGTCCAATTTGAAAATAAAAATTGGATTTTACTAATGAGTGCGAGAGAGATAACTAAATATAGGGGTTTTCGAAACCACTGAGAGTAGACTTTTGAAGATTTCATAGTAGTGCGCACTGGGTGCATCAATTACATTCCATTGATAGAACAAGGGCTTGTTTTTGTTTATGAATGGTAAATCACGGCAACGTTGTTTGCTCTTAGAGCAGTTTTATCGGCACGACCTTTTGAAGTTCCAGTGAATTTAGGGCCGGTTTCTCAATAGTAGCCAAATTCCACATAGATCACTTTTCCATAAGAAATGTGCGGGGTCCTTTGTTTAACGTTTTTTGAAGCTCAAAGTTTATACGAGAAAAACAACGCGTTCATAGAACGCGCTGAATTCTGACGAATAAATGGGGCATTCGTTTGTGTTATGGCAATGAATTAACGAACGTTATTTATGGTTAAAATTGTTAAAAATGTTAAAATATCTGCCATAACTTGAAATATAACAGCTCAGTTCAAGTTAGTGCGACACAAACAAACAAACAAACCTAATTTCTCTCCCTAGGCTAATAATGATAATAATGAAAAAATACCTAGGTCAATAATGAAAATGACGTCATGACGCAAGGATATTGTCATGACGTACCAGGTTTCTATTGGTTCAATTCGTTTAATTTCAATTTCAAACTGTCAGTTTAAAAAACCACAGGTTCCTATATATATATCATAGGAAATAACCATGAGCTGTTGATAGAGGACAGTACTTTCGACAAGAAAAAATAATTTGAGCACAGATTTCAAAACTATTTTTTATTTTCCACTAGCAGATAGTAAAAATGACCACTATTATGACCAGCTTCTCTACCTAGGTATATAATGTACTATTATCATAAATTTAAATTATAAACTACGACCGCTGGCGTAAACAGCTGATGTCGCTGACGACTTAGGTAATGACGTCGGCAATGGTGATACACCAATATGGCGGCCAATGGGCGGTGATTACCAAAAACGAGGCCGATAAGCAATTCACAGTTAACTTTTTGAATTACATGTAATTTCAGAAGTTAACTTTAAGTTAACTCTCAAAGTAGTTTTATAATACCCGCCCTTAGTAGTGTGTATTATCCTTGTAAGTGCGTAAGGCCCTGGAGCTGTTCCGGAGCTCGTCCTAGGTGTGAAAGGAATACAGGTCTTAAAAGACCTTGCGTTCTGTATTTTGCTCAAAGAGCAGAGCGTGCTGAGTGGAGCCGTAATCACGTGATCAGCGAGCGAACAGAGCAGTTGAACGCTGTATCAGAGTGTCAAAGCGAATTTCATTGGTTGAAAACAGTCAGAAAACTAGTTTCAACCAATGAAATTCACTCTGACTGGTTTGTGACTTCTGCAGAAACAGACCTAATAAACGAACGGTAAATTCAAGCTCGGAGAACTCAGATCAAAATACCGAATGCACGGTATGTCAGCATTCTATTGGGCCTTCACTGAAGCATATTGTTGAAGGAACTGTTCGAGAGTCAGTGCAATCTGAGTGCAGCACTAGTTTGACCAATAGAAAGCGCTATCATTCTAACACATACTGTCAAACTCAGCTGTTTGTTTTTGCAAAATATTTTCACAAATTTTCCCAAACATTTTCTTATATTTAGCTTCTACTGTTCAAAGAAAATTCCGCCAAATGAAAGTCGAAATTGAGGATATGGACGCGAGCAGTCTATGCGATTCAGTCGTAAGTAGCGCCCTGTTGAAAAAAAATGTGCAACTTTAAGGTTATAATAAACAATTTTCATTTAAAGGGCTATCAACAGTATCAACAAAACACTTTTAAGGTCTTGAGTTGAATAAGCTAGGGTTAGTCAATGTTTCAAATGCAAACACTTTGTTGGCACCCCAAAGAATAGACTTCTACTAGTTCTACTAGTAATAAGCATTATGCAAAAGCCGCTTTTTTCTAAACTTACCCAATGTGAAGAGTGTTCGCACTTTGAAATTCCCACAAAAACTAGCATTTAGACGAATTTATACCTGGTGAAGTAGTTGAAGGAAGTAAATTACAAGAAATTACTACATCGCGCTGCTAATAAAGTATCTTCTAAATCTTCAAACAGCAAATTGTAGAAACTTTCACTAAAAGATTTAAAAAAGACACTTCAGTCCATTGGTATAGATTCAATTATTATAAATAATGAAAACGATTTCTCTGAAATTAATAACAAAACATCAAAACTAATAAAAAAATTTAATTTTTCACAGTCATCGTTAGTAGAAGGATGCAGACTTCCAGTACAAATGAAAGGAACCTCAGATTGGCGTAAGTGAAAATAAACAGCCCAGAACTTAACTAATGAGGCTATAGAAAAGAAAAGGTCTAAAATCTTTTATAGGTCTGTTCTCACAGGAATCACAAACCAGTTAGAGCGTTTTTGATTGGTGCAAACCGTCAACAACCAGTTTTCTGAATATTGGCCGAGTTCGTTTTTGTCATCTTTTTCATCGATTTGCACCGAAATTTTGACAGGCACGTGATTTGTAAATTGAAACTGTCTGATCCAGTCACGTGCCTGTCAAAATTTCGGAGCAAATCGACGAAAAAGTTGATAAAAACAAACTCAGCCTCTGACTATTTTCAACCAATGAAATTCGCTATGACTGGTTTGTGATTTCTGTGAGAACAAACCTAATATGTGAAAATGTAAAATCTGTTTTTTATTTAAAGATAAAAGTCAAAATGACATTATGTTCGCAGTACAATGTAAAATTGTTAATGCTTTCGAATTTTTTATGTATAAAAGGCTTGTGCTGCCAACATAGTTACTAAATTTTTGACTTGGGGAATTATCTTTAAAAAAAAAAACGGACTTTATCTCACTTTTCCTCCTAATAAATTTCATTTCTCTAACTAAGTTCTTAGGTCCGGTTTATTCACCTTCTGATAATGCAATCAGAGGGATAAACACGCAATTTATAATCAAAATCCTATTGGTCAGCTAGTTATCCGCTGACCAAAAGGAATAAAGGTAGTTAATTTATTAGGTAGACAGTTACCAGTAAGTTTATTTGAAGATGAATATACTGGGCTTTATATGAGTACAAAAGTTCTTAACATAGAACATTTTTCTACAGTTCTGCCATTTTCTAATTTTATGTTATATTATAAAAAGAAAAAATACTTTAAATATCTACTAGGCAGTTTATAAAAGGCAGAAAAAAATATAATAGGATTAAAATAACTGTCAAAAATTGAAATACAGGGTGGTCCGATTTGGATTTTTGGACACTTTTGATAAGAGCGAAATTCGAGAACATTTCTAAGGCTGTTCCTTACATTTCAACAAAAAAGCTGTGTTGCCATATTCAAAAAATCAAGTCAAATGTAGATCTAATATTTAGGGCGAGATTTAGGGGCTTTTAGTAATGTTGGGAGTGTTGGGACGCTGAATTAATGACAATAAAAATTCATTTGAAAAAAATCAATAAATAAAGTTATGTACGGCATCTCAGAAACGGTAAACTTGGCAACATTGGAAATTCACCATTGAATCGGGAATCGTCAAAAACCTCCAGGATGTCTATTTTCGAAAGTGGGAAACGCCGTTCTCAATGAGAACAATTGGTCTGTCTTTGTCAATCAGTGGTATGGAAATATGAATATGGGCGACAATGACAGAAATATACATTTCCTATTAAAAGTGTCCAAATTTGACAACCCTGTACAATTAAAATTACAAACTAAAAATACAAATAAAACTAAAAACAAACATAAATAAAAATACCTGGAAAAAATAACTACAAACTATCATTATAATAATCCTCCAGTTTGTATAGTCTATCGATAGTCAAATGAGACAGTAAAAAAAATAAAATTCCTTTGGCCGTCAGCGTTTTCTTTATGAAGCACGGGCGGAGTAAGAGAAATTTATTAAAACAGTTTTATATAAAATAAAACATAAGGCACAATACAACTTAAATAGGAATCAGATTTATAAAAAATATCTACTGCACTGTCTTTCCAGACGAAACTGATTCCTGTGCGGCAGCCGCTTCAAAGAAATATGCCGCCAAAGACGCCGTTAAAAAATCTAACCAATAAGATATTCCTAGATTCAACGTTGACTGTATTAAACAACCAATAAGATGCATTGTTTACACATGGCTTCGCATCCAATGTATACGGACACGCTCAATATATTTTGCCTAATAATAGTATAATAATTTTAAGGTGCAATACGATAATTTGTGAAGACCCCAATTTTTGCCTTGTCTCATTTGAGAAACGATAGACTATAATTAGACTTTGACGTCATTACCTAATGTTTTCTTCTTGGAGTACTTCATTGATATTCTCAAAAGAAAGAGACTACTCAAGTACTGGCGGAACCGTAGATGGTTCTTAGACACATTCAAAATCTTTACAAAATATTCAAATTTCAGCTCTAGCAGAAATTATAAGTATGAAAGACATCGAGGGCACCAAATGGTACTATGTTCACTACGTAGACTGTAAGTATTACATGTTTTCACCGGTATTATTTTCAATATTCACAAAGAACTTTTATTGAAAACTGCTCTCAACAAAAGCCAACGTTTTGGACAACAACAATCTCAAATATTTCGAAGTTTCTTGTGTTATAGTAAATGCGAAATAAACTTTGACAATGGGAAGTATTCAAAGCAAAGACAAAAGATGTTCTGGACAACTAATCCTCAAAACATCCTGACAAAATTTGGCTCTATTTTGAAAAAAATTATCAACCAATCGAGATAAATGAAGAATTTAACTATTGTCAAAATCAAGTAGAATAAACTGAAAAAATGGAAAATATTCAGATGAAAAATATTCAGAGCGAAAATGATGGACGAAAATTTAGTTTATTGGTACCTACCTACATCTTGGATAAAGTATCCAACCAAAATTTGTATATATCATCAATAATCTCTAGCCAATTGAGAGCTGGTCATAATCAAAATTTGGTTCCTAATTGGCCAACCTTATAAATGGTTGAAAATATCAATTGCAAGATGATTCAATCAAAAATTGAATGAAACTGAAATAATCCACTGCGTTTTACTTTGTAATCACGATATCAAATTGTCGAAATTGCATCAAGACTAAAATCCTCGAAACGTTGGCTTTAATATAAAGTTCCCAGTCCAAAAAAATGATTTCAAATATTTCCAGTCAACAAAAGACTAGACGAATGGATAACCGAAGACTCTCTAGACACGCGCAAAGTACATTTCCCACGCAAAGACTTGGGCCCCGGTACAGGGGTAACAACCCCCAAAAAAATTCTCATAGGCAGTGGAATCGGTAGCGGACTGAACAGCAATATCAGCACCAGCGCGCAAACGTCGAGACCTTCGAGTCCTACTCTAAATCCGGCCAGTGTCGAACTGCTAAACGGAAACGCTGTCCTGGCGGCGGCCCTACAAAAAAAAATGAACAGGAAAAAAAAAGGACCTTCATTGGAAAGTGAAGATTCGCTGGATTGTCCTATGCAGCAAAATCTACAGCCAACCCCACAACCTCCAGGGCCTAGACAATCGGGCAGTATGGTTTCGCATCACGACGATATAGTGACCAGAATGAAAAACGTCGAAATGATTGAATTGGGGCCTCATAGAATGAAACCGTGGTATTTCGCACCATATCCGCAAGAAATGGTTAATCTTCCATGTATATATATTTGTGAATTTTGTTTGAAATATAGAAAAAGTAGAAAATGTTTGGAAAGGCATGTTATAAAATGTAATTTACGGCATCCGCCTGGTAACGAAATTTATAGGAAAGAAACAATATCTTTTTTTGAAATAGACGGTAGGAAAAATAAGGTTTACGCTCAAAATTTATGTTTATTAGCCAAATTATTCTTAGATCATAAAACTTTATACTACGACACTGATCCTTTTTTGTTTTATATTATGACAGTGTTCGATCATAGAGGTTTTCACATAGTCGGGTATTTTTCAAAGGAAAAAGAATCCACTGAAGATTATAACGTGGCTTGCATATTAACACTACCTCCATACCAGCGAAAAGGTTATGGAAAATTACTTATAGAATTTAGTTATGAATTATCCAAGTTTGAGGGCAAAACTGGTTCACCAGAAAAACCCTTATCCGATCTCGGTTTGTTATCGTATAGAAGCTATTGGGCACAAACTATACTAGAAATTTTACTCTCGATCAAACCTGTAGGGGAAAACGAAAAACCCCAAATAACAATAAACGAAATTTGCGAATTAACTAGCATAAAAAAAGAGGACGTAATATCAACGCTGCAAAATTTAAATTTAATTAATTACTATAAGGGCCAATACATAGTTACATTAAGCAAAGAAATAATGCAGCAACACTATAAAGCAATGGAAACTAGGAAAATACGAATAGACTCAAAAGCTTTACATTGGACACCTAAAGATTGGGGTAAACGTGCCAAATGGTAATATTTGGGGGGGAAGAGCTCTTATTTTTTTTTGTATAAAGACTGAATTTTAGTATTTTTTGTAGTTTACATAAGGCATATGTATAATAAGGTTCAAATATATTGCAGTGACTTGATGTGAATTAAAATTTTTGTTTTATTTTATGGAGAGGTTTGAGCCTTTTCCAGTAGTTACCATATTTTATGCTGAACGAGAGATAAAACTGCATTAAAGATTCCAAAATACCTCCTATTTAGACGTCAAGTACGCTCAAAAAGTCTTATATTGTCACGCTTATGTTAGCTGTGGTCAGGAGTGCCACCACTTCTTCTACACTTGGCTGCGTCCACTAAGGGTTCGTCTGGAAAGGGTGGGTATGGGGGAAGGGATGCCAGATACCACTACAAATATTATACAGGGTGAGTCCGAAATAAGTGCGCATTTGGCATTGGATAATCACTTTTTGCATGGGTACATGTGTCCGCAAACGTCTAATTAGGAAAATACAGAGTGTTGAAATTTTCGGAAAAATTTGACTTTTTGTTTTTAAATCCAAAATGCCTTGAGCGATTTTGTTCAAATTTGCAAAAAGTGTTTGCGTTGCGATGTTCTCAAGCTCCTCTCTAAAAAATCCGTTCGAGTTCCACTTTTTCAGGACCTAGAGAGTGACTCTTATTTTTTTTTAAAGAAAAAATTGGTATGCACTTGCCTAGTGTTTTTCACAAATTAAAGATTATCTTTAATTCCTTGTTTAATTTTAAACAAAAAAGGTATCCCAAGTTTTCCTTGTTCCATGCGATGTTTACGAGATAAAAAATAAAAATTAATGAATTTTTTGGAGAATCTCGTAGTTCGATACACCCCACTCTGTTGAAAAAATGAAGAGTCGCTCTAAGTCCGGTCCTGGGGAAGTGGAATTCGAACGGCAAAAAGTCAAAATTTTCCGACAATTTCAACACTCTTTATTTTCTTAACAAGACGTTTGCGGACATATGTAGGTACCTAAATATGCAACAAGGGATTGTCCTACTGTACTCTATCTATCATAACGAAATGCCCACTTATTTCGTAATCACCCTGTATATGCTTTATTACTAAACCTTAATTACATCTTATAGTTCGAAAAGAATTACCAAAATCCTAACACCGCAGATGTTCGTCCCTGATGAACCATGTTAGATTGTCAATATGTTAATGCCCCCTTGGTAATGTAAGAATGTTTTATGAAACAAAAATACACTACAAGAATGGGCCTCCTAAGAGAATAGTTCTCGTAGGTCTAAACTTAGGGATGCTGAGACACGGCTACTATAGATGAGACCTTCATCCACATCCACAATTTTCACAGTTTCGGCCATACCTAGTCATACCCAGCTAAGGCAGATCTTTTAGGCTCCTACCTTATCAGGCATGAAGCAGTCAAGACCAACCTTCCCTTGCATTGCCGCAGAACGTGAACTTATATTGAAATTATTGCTGGCGTAAGCAAAGTTAGTCTGTTTTTAATAATCAGAGGGTGACCTTCTTCAGAAATTTACTTAATTTTTATAATACGTGGTCTTGTGTATGTACTTCTACGAGTTGACAATATTTACTTTATCTTCACTTTGTTAATCTTTTCAAAGTCTACAATAACTCTTTACTTTTTCAAGAACTGGAAAAATGAAGCTTCCAGACGAAATTCCAAAGGCAGTTTTGAATATCTTGGAACCAATTTTTGATGATTGAGTCCTAATGTTCAACAGGGGAGTAAATAAAACACAATTTAAGCTTAGATAAGTTTATTAGCCATAACCCAATGATAATAAAAACTTACTCATTGTTCCACTAAATGAATCCCTAGTCAATAATATTTTTATTATACATAGTTAAAATTTACAAAATCACACAAAACTTAATAAAATCCAAATGACCGCCAATCAGCCTCTGCCACCCCAAAAAAAAAAGTGCCCAAATAAAAACAAACCTAGTAAAAATGTTTTATTCTCAACAACTTGTAACAACAGTAAATGTTTTAAAAAAAAGCCTGTTTGGAATAAATAAAACCAAATAAGTATATACAATTAACTATAAAGGTACAAATTTTACATTATCGAACACATCCCTGTTAATTCGCTACCCTTTTGTACCCGAGGTAGCTTTTTGAGGGGCACATTCTGTAACCCCGGCTTATACCTAACAATTTCCAGGTCTTCTATGGGCAGTTCGCTACTAGACTTAACCGTATCACTATTATCACTAGATTCACTATTATTTTTTTCATTTGGTGCTATCACAGGCAATGGCTTGGAAATGTTTATCTTTATTTTGGGAGCGTTCGACGTTATCGCCGACACTGCTGTAGACACTAATTCCATGTTTCCATCCATGGAAGTCACGAGTTGTGGATGTGATGTTACTGTTGGTTCTTCTGTGGTTAAAATTACTTCTGAGTCTTCATGCGATTCAGATGGAGTTTGGGTGGTAGTCGAGTTTTCTGAACGTTTTTCGTCTGTTGAACAAAAAAAAAAAAGAGGAAATTATTAGGATTTTCAAATTTAGTTATGGAAAATCGTATTTTGTACCTTGAAATCTTCTGTATGCTAAATAAATTTAAAAAAATATATATTAATTTTAGGGGTTATTTTTAGATATAAAGATGGTTAATATGATTTGAGAATGAATGGAGGATTATCTAGAGGAGAAGAAGCTCTGATTCACCATGAGAACTTGTAGAAAATAGAACTGGGCCAAAATTAGCAGCAGCAAGGAGATTGTGTGCATTTTAAAGATTGAAGAAAGAAGAAGCACAGAAACAAAAATACTCATTAAAGTACAAGGACCTGAATAAGTAATTGGAGAAAAACATCAGAATTAGCTCAAAATATGGGATTACTTTGATCAATCCTTAATGTAACTTTGGGTGAAGATCACATTATGAAATGAAATAAAATATATCTTTATTGAATAGGTTGGTACACCCAATAAACACAAAAATACAATACAAGAAAAATGTCCATTAGACATATAAGGTACTGTACCAGTCCTAAGAGATGTGTTCAGAAGATTCAGAATAACATAACCAATGGTTTCAAATATAGACCTAAGAATCTTAGCATTCATGAACAGTACATTTATTATCAAGCCTACAAATTATTTTTCGAGCATCAGACATATTCAACAACTTAAGCCTAAAAATCTTCAAATTCAAATTTGCATCAAGATTGGTCCATTTCTGACCATTTTTGCATGCTTTCGAGAAAGTTATTGGAAATCAAAGGAAAAACACACCAAGAAGTAAATCAAAAATCTCAAATAATATAACTGATTTTGGATCACCCAGGTATTGGAATGAAAAAGAAATACATGAAAACAATTACCATCAATAGGTTCACTTTTAATCTTCACTAGCCCGTGGTCCTTCAAAGTCAAAATTTCACCAACGTCCACGAATCCATCATCAAAAACGGCCTTCTTTTCCTTCTTGACCGGTATTGGCTGGCTTTTTTCAGCGTTCTGCGCGTCCATTGGTTCATCATCGTCATCTTCAACAACAATTTTTATTGGTGCAACTTCGTTGAGGATCACGTCATCGTCCTCACCATCATCTTCCTCCTCAGGTAAATCTAAAAATAATTAATGAAATATTTGACAACAAATTTGGTAATTTAAAATGTTACCTTCATCTTGAGCAGGACTTGGTGCTTCTTCGGGCAATTCAATTTCTTCATCGTCATCGATTAATGAAACAATTTCATCAGCCGATTTTTTATCTTCATCATCGTCATCATCTACAATAATTTCCAATCCAGGTATTAGGCTACTTTCTTCCTTGGGTTTACTTTCATTCAGTATTGTTTGGTTATAATCCTCGTAGCATACAGGATGGTAAGTTTTGTCGTCAATTTTAATAGCGTTCCTCAAATGCCACTCTTCTTTTTCTTCATTGAAAAATTGCTCAAACGTATCCCTACACACATGGCATCGTTCGTCTGTTGTAGCAGGATCAGCTTGCACCGTTGGAATTTCTTGTTCTTCTTCGGCTTCCTCTGCAACTTCAGCTTGCTGCTGTTGCTGATCGAAATAATTCTTTTCTCTTTCTTCGATATCCTCTAATTCTTCGTAGTTTTTCCAATCGGCCAGCGAATAGTACCACTTTCTACTATTAGCTACTCTGGCGTTTTTCTTTCCTTTACGATTTTGCCTAAAGTGCCAGTCCAAATGTTGACTATACCAGGTGCTGGCTTCAGGCGGGAATCGCATGCCGCAACTCGAACATTGCATTCCGGTGTATAAAGCACTGTAAAGGGCCCCTTGACGCATCTTTAGGGTTTTTGGTTGAGCGAAAGTCACTGGCTTTAGAATTTCTGATAAGGTACGTCTTTGCTGTTTGGGAGGTTCCGGGATCGGATTCTTATTGGCCACAACTGGAGAGAAGAATTTTGTTAATGATGATTTGCAAGAGGGAGGAAAATAGGCAGTAGAGTGCAGATGGTAAACTGATGGCATGTATGACTGGTGTCATTACGTGAAAAGTTTGCAGAAGTACAATTTCATGCCATGAAAGGAGTTTGCAAATGAATTTGGTAATAGTTTTCCTATCAATAAAGCTTCATTACATAGATTAGTTTTTTTTTTGCACCCCACTGTGAATTCTCAATAATTATTTTTATACCTTTTCCATTGCTAACAGTACTAGTAGGAACTGTTGTAGTTGTAGTAGGTTCTTGAGTTTTGACAAAACCAGAAGCAACCAGTTTTTGAAACAGGTCGTTAATATTGAGAGCAGGAGCTGCAGAATTTTGAGAACTGGATGAGTCAGTGGTTGTAGATGTCCCTGGTAGTTGCACCTGATAGCTTCCAGTGGTAGTGGCAACCGGTTTTTGCGATTGCGAAAAGACGTTTGACAGTTCAAAGTTGTCTAAAAGAAATTGTATGATTACTATTTGCTTGATACGGAATTTTGTTTTAGTGTTACGGATTCCGATATTGCCCGAAACTGAACCTATAAAATTCATCTCAAATTGCACTGGGTGCATGGTTTAGAGACAGTTTGCAGGTTTTTATTCATTTCTGCTGGGAGTCGAAATATGAAATATGAAAAATAAGACCCCACAGAAATTGAACAACGAAACTTGCCACAAATGAAACTTTTTGCTATATAAGAAGCCCAAATTTTCTTTAATGTGCTTCATACTACTCAATTTATCGCTGATAAAAATACACCAATTGACAATTATTTCACTGTAATTCTGATTAAGTACAGTTAACCCTCAATTGCCTATTTCATTAATCACCATAGTATTTTCACCATTCAATGGAGTAATAGTAAAATCAAGTATTCATATATTATACCAGCTACTTGGAAAATGTGCAAATAAAACAACAACATGATTTTATAATCTTTATTTTAAGTTTTGAAAAATAAATACAAAAATATGCCTGCAAGAAAATGTTATCATTATTATCAACTAATACTTTGCCAAACTTTTAAAATCAAAAATGTCAACTTCCAGCATAGCTTAAAAAGCACTAGAGAGAACCTGTACTGAGAATTGATGCTTTGACTCTGTCTTAAATATTTAAATCACACATTTGTCAGATCTAGAATTGATATTTATGCCCCAAAAAAAAATCAAGATCCCTACTCTTTTTTTTTTGAACATTGTTAAACAATTAAGCTCCTGAGAATCAAATTTAAACTAAACTAAATAAAATATATTAAAAATAAAGCACTTACTCAGTCCGGGTAAAACATTGTTAAGGAAATCACTGGGCGAATTACTCCTATTATCGGGCGACATCGGTCCGATAAACTGTAACTTCTTGGTCTCGGGTCTCAGGGGCTCTCCGTGTAACGGCCCGTCTTGACTAGCCTCCTCTTCTCGAACAGGACTAACGCCCGCCTCGCCTTCCATATCCTTAATTTTCACGAAGCCGGGCTTGAAGCCCTTCGGCAATACTGAAAATCTGATAAAGTGTTTTTTACCGTGGATAATAAAAGGTTTAGGCAAAGCACCAAATTCGACATTGTGTGGAACATCATTTATTAAAACTTTTTTCAATGCATCTACAAATTTTAAGGTACACGGCCTGCCGCCGAGCACAAACTTTTGAAGTTTAGAGTCCAAGAAAATGGGTAGTATTATTTGAGCGTCTATTAGCGCATCTATTTTGGCCAAAACTAAATCGGTGCGTTTAGTTTCGCCTATTGTCACTGGCGGCGGGGGGCCTTCTAAGCTCACGCTCAAATTAATGCCGTTCACTGTTATGTGTATTTGAGGGCCTCCAAAAAAGCACTCGAAACCGATATCGTTAATGAAAATTTCGCGACTGGGAACCCCGAGTTTGACGCGGAAAGTAAAATTATTCACCAAACATTCTTTGTAATTCTCTCCAAAATTCAGCACATATGATTCTTTGTTATTAAAACAAACACTCCGCGAGCCGTTTTGAAATGAGATCTCGCGAGGATCGTCATTACTTATGAAAATCACAGCAGTTTCATTATAAATCCTTATATCTTTTGGCATCCCATCGATGACCAAAGTTTTAATGTCCTCTTGAAGTTGTACTTGAGGATCATCTTGCCCAGGACTTTTTGAAGATTCATCTTCTATTGGAATAAAATCTGGCCTATGTTGAGGCCCAAAATGCCTCCATCTAGGACCTGGTTGCTGATGAATCCATGGTCTAATTGGCTGTCTGGGTAATGGCATTCTGCCTCTATTCCCTCTCCACTCGCCTCTACCTCTAAAAGGCGGTCTGCCACCTCTAGGATAAAATTGTTGCTGTGGCATGCTATTGCTATTATCAATGCCTGGAGGTATGGTTTCCATGTTATGTGGCTGAAGGATCTGAGGTAGATTTAGTCTTTCATCTTTGTCATTGAAAGGCATCGGTGGCGTATCTTGAGAAGGTGCTTCAATTTCAAATTCATCGTCGCTGATGGTTTGTAACGATAGGTCTCCTAATAAGGATTCTTGATTGTCTCGCTTTTTTGCTTCTCTTAATTTGCTTTTTTCAATATGTTTAAATAGTCTGCTTAAAATGTGTTGTTTTTGCTCGGGCGTCATATCACCAGATGCTATTGCTAGTTCTTCTTCAGATGATACTCTTACAGGACTATCTTCTAGACGCAGTTTATCTTTGCGGACTAAAAAAATTCAATGTAAACAAAAATATGGTCAAGTGAATGTAATTCTTACATGATTTGTTGAAAATTTTTTCTCTATTGGCGGCATTGGCTAGCTTGGCTCTGACGGCATCAAAGTCGCTTTTGGTAGACACCGCATCCAGGGCAGGTTGTTCAGGAGCAGAAGATATTATGGGCGGTGGAGGTGGAGTTGGAGGTCTTTCAACGATTTCGGCGGCAATAGGTATTGGTCTCATATCTGTGTCCTGACTACCAAAAAGCCTAAAAATTAAATAAGAATCTTTTTATTCAGTATGGGACCAATGGAAAAGAAGATATTTAAAAACGGTATATAAGAAAGGAGACAGAAATAACTGCAAGAACCACCGAGGAATTGCAGTAACAAATATTTTGAGCAGAGTGTATGGAAAACTTATAAAAACCAAAATAGAGAACGAGTAGAAAGATAGTGAGTGAGGCAGCACTTTTTACCTATCACCTGTAATTATGGCTGCAAGTGGGTGTCAAAATATGGTGACTCACCCTGTACATGAATAGTTATACTTTTGAGTAGAGAAAGACAATCAATTAAATTATTTACAATTTTATACAGAAAACGAATACCAAAATTTCTCCTGCGGATTTCTAACGTAGGAAAGTGAAGTAATACATATAATTCATTCATCAAGGTTGATATTTTCGGAATTCCTAGCCTATAGCTTATATGTCTAAGAAATCATCTTTGAACCCTTTCCAGCATACTTATATAAACCTAGTAGCTTGGGGACAAGACAGGACAAGCATATTGAAATATGGATCTTACACTGAATAATAAACAGTTTTTGATGCAAAAATATTGTTAAAGTCTTTCAAAGTACGGAATAAAACCAAGTAGTTTTGTGACTCTGTTGAACGTAATATCCTAATTGAAAGTTACTCCTAAGTCTTTAGTAACGATTTTTCTCTCTCCAGTTTCTGTCCAAGCAATATGTATGGGTATATTACGACTACACGAGATTTGAAAAAGCATATAACTTTGTATTTTTTAACATTTAAGTCTAAGTCATTAATTCTACACCAGAGGGCAAGGCAATTAAGATCTGCTTGTAGCTGTTTAGAGTCCTCCAATGTTGAAACCAGTCTATACAATTTCAAGTCATCCGCGTATATTAATACAGGACTGTAAAGAATGACGTCCAAAACATCATTTATATAGCAATTGAACAATAAAGGTGACAGATGTCCCCCCTGTGGAACTCCAAACAAAACATAAATTCTTTATTTTTACTATTTGTGAAAGTGTGTGGAAAGTGAAAGTCTAAAGGATTGTTTGGAAGATTGCGATTTTTTTAAGGTTAGATTTCACCATGCTATCCACCTACGCTTCCTGCTCCCTAGATTTGGGTAACGATGATAAACAAATTGTTGCTTGTGATAGCTTTAGAAGTCGAAAACACACACGGCTGAAAAATGTTCGGAGTTTTCTGTATCAGAAGCCAGAGCAATTCTGCAAAACCGAACCCTTATGCATTTCTGCCAAGAGTGCTGTGATGCTTTTGAGAGTGTACCAATTATGGTCAGGAAAATGGTTAAGATGAAAGAAGAATACTCACTCTTAAGCAGCAGGTCATGACACTATAGGAAGAACAGGCAAAATCGTCAGATAGCAGTGTTGAAGCTCTGCTATATGAAGTGAACCAACGATCCAGAAATTTGCTCATATACAATATCCCAGAATCCAACTTGTTGAATCTCGAAGAACGCATCAGCTATGACAAAACCAAAGTCTCTGGGTATTTGAGAAGCTACAAGTGGAATTTTCTTTGATCCAGAAAGTTTTACATGTGGGAAAATTGAGAAACACTACTTAAAATAGTTTGTGGCTCAACTAGGGTTGCCAGATTGAACTATCTACAAATCGGGTATACCAATCAAAAAGCTGTTAAAAAATCGGGACTTTCAATAAAAATCGGGACACTTTTTTATTGACTTTTTTATTGAAGGAATAATTTAATATAAAGGAAATAAAATGAAACTGACCAATGAAACTTCTAACAAAATAAAAAATAACGCGTTTCATTTAATCCCCGGGAAATAAAGTAAAAATTTAATCCCTTGGGAAATAAAGTGAAAAATAATCACGGAGATTAAAAGACCTACTTTACCCCCTTAAAACAGGGATTGGAAGGGTACCTACTGTTAATCCCTGAAGTGCATAAAATGCATTAGTGTATTCTTATCGTCAAAACCAAAAGAATCTTTAACAAGTACAATTCAAAAATAAGTGTCTTATAAGTAGGTACTTTTAATTTTTTCCAACTTTTTGAAAAATTCCGTAAAATCGGGACATTTAGCGTCCCGACGTATAGTCCATCGGGACACGGAACAAAATCTCCAATATCGGGACTGTCCCGTTAAAATCGGGACGTCTGGCAACCCTAGGCTCAACTGATACTGTCAAATTGGCAATCAAGTCAGTTAATAAGCTGATTGGGTCCACATACAAAATTTCAAGGGATCAAACACCAATGCAGCGGGAGGCTTATAGAAAAGCAAAGACATTGCTGAATAGTAGAAAGGCTGCAGGTGAAGATAACTTGATAATAAGATACCGCAATGGCATACCTGTCGTAGAAACAAGACAACAACAGAAAAACATGTTAACTACCCCATTACAAATCTATTTTCAAAAAGGTGGTCTGAGGACCAAATTTTCAGATCTTCCTAAAACTGTCGCTTGCTGCATGTACGATATTATTGTCTTGATCGAGAGTAAAGGTCCCCACAAACTACGTTTTTGTTGGACGGATTTGTTCGCCGAGCAAATCTGGTCGAGCAAAAACGATGGATCGCAGTTGCACACAGACCTCGGTTTAGTTTGGCGAACATCAGTCATGTTGGAAAGTCTTAATTTTTTTTTTTTTTAATTTTAATAGTGTAAAATTACGTAGCTACGCACCACGCAGCACACAAAACCGCCGTTCATAAAATTCGTAGCTCACACACTTCAGATTTGTTGACATATCGAACATATCCGACGGACAAAATCAGGAGAAGCCAGATATTTGCATCGGTTTTGTATGCCAGCAAAAACGACAATTTTTGGCACACACACTTCGGTTTTTGCATCGTTTTTGCTCGACCAGATTTGCTCGTCGAGCAAATCCGTCCAACAAATACGCAGTCTGTGGGGCCCTTAACTGAAATAATGAATTATCAGACAGCGAAATCAAATGTGATGGATTCAGAACTGACAGAGATGCAATGACTAGCAGTAAATCCAGTGAGGGTGGCATATCAATATTTGTCAACAACAAAATACGAGCTCAGTCTATCAGGATTACAGAAAACCGAGTTGCGCAATGTCTTGTAGAGTGTGAAATTAACCAAAGTAAATGTATGATAGATGGTGTCTACATCCCTCCTCAATCTTCTCAGGAGAAGTACAACTGGCATTGTCGGTCAGTCGAACACATATACGGGTGTCCGGAAAATACCGTAAAAGCTCTCCACTACGTATAGGGGACCCTTCAAGGAACCCCAGAAAAATAATTTAAAAAATCTGGTGGCATTCTTGAGAAAGGTATTAGCATTTTAATGTTTATAAAATCGGCAACACTGAAAATATACCGTCGACAATTTGTCACAGAATTAAATTAAATACCTATGTAATTACCTGGAAAATTCGAAGGTGACTGAAAAATGTTGTCAAATCAATTTTTCCTGTTGTAATTTAGAGATTTTGCAATTTTCATAATGCTTTTTAAAGGTTGACAACAAATTTTTTTAAAATAATATGTAATGAATCAACGAAAGATACCTATTTTTTTTTAACACTGTACAAAATATTGCAATTTGAAGAAAAATCAAAAATAAGGAAGTTGAATTTCCACATTTACCTCTTCATATTTCCAAGAATAGTCGAGAAGGATTTTTTAAATTATTTTTCTAGGGTTACTCAAAGGATACCCTACTACGTAGTGGAGAGCTTTTACGCAATTTTCCGGACACCCTGTATGTTAAAAGTCCCAACAAAAAATTTGTATGTGTTTGGTGACTATAACCTACCCAGTGCAGTCTGGTCAAATGTTGAGTATGGGATGACGAACAATAATTATTTATCAACAATAGATTGGGATGATTGCATTGGTACCAACAGCATTAATGTGGATGTAGCAGCTGATATTTTTTATGATATTTTATCCACTGGCATAGCTTATTTTATTCCTCTCCAAAAGTACAAAACTTCTTTTCCCAAATGGTTTTCTGCGGATCTTCGTATTTTGACACTCTAGAAAAAGCAAGCTCACTCTATTTATATCAAAGACCGAACTAGTGCTAAGTATCTTAGATTTTTTCAGACTGCAAAAAACTTTCTGACATGCGCTTTCAAAATTATATCAGAGGTCTCATATATGTAGTTCAGAGGGCTGGCCACTAAAGAAAAGAACCGCAAAAATGCTGGAAGCAACTGAAATGGACTTTTGAAGGAGAGCGGAAGGCAGGTCAAAAATGTAAAGGATAACAAATCTGAGAATTAGGGAGATTATGAACGTAAAACACAATAGTAGATGATATAAAGGACAAACAGCTGATTTAGTTTGGATATGTACAAAGAATGGCAGATACAAAAATACCGAAGCAAATTATTGAGTGGAAGCCAGAAGAAGAAGACATGACAGAAGAAGTGGAGTAGACGAAGAAATGAGAGACAGAGGAGGATGGTTGGAGATCAGGAATCTGAAGAAGTAGAACGTTATAAACCGATTTTATATATGGATTTAAAAAAAAAAAAAAAATCAGCTAAATTACTTACTCATTCAAATTTTTACTTTTCTTGGTGGGTTGGTCAGAAGCCTCAGTCGAAGTTCTCTTTTTGCTTAGGACGGGCCTTAGATCCACATCCATCGGTTTGGTTGGTGCTTTTTTTGTGATGCTAGTTGGTTCGAGTGCTGGAAAAACAAACAGAATTTAAAATTATTCTATGTCTGAAACACAAAAAGGTATCAGCAATAATACTTACATGCTGTTGGTTCAATTGGGTTCCTACTTTCAGCACTCTTGGTTGAAATTTCTTGCACAGGACTATCAGCCAAATTTCTCCTAATGTAATTCCTACTTTTACTTTTATTAGCACTTTTAAAATTAGGTTCACTATTAGGATAATTAGGTTCTTCGTCGAAAAGAAGTTTTTCGCGTTTGGTGTCATAGTCCTGAGATCTTTTAGATTCCGGTTTGTCCCGCTTTTTATTTTTACTGCTACTGTTGCCGCTACTAGAACGGCTTTTAGTTTTTGTAGGCGAATCTTGACTACTCGAACTGCTACTATTGCTAACTGTGGGCGGACTGCGCGACTTTTGGGGAGACGATTTATTAATACTACGATTATTAGGGGAAACAGTTTTGGATTTTTTGTCAATTTTACTTTGCGTACGGGGATAGTTAGGGTTATTCACATGTACTTTATTAGTTATGACTTTATTATTTTCAAGAGGCTTTTGCGTTACTGGTGCTACACTTTCCAGTTCTTTCTGTTGCTGGCGCAGCAGCCTGGGATCCCGGATGGGCCTGACGGCCGCCGCCAGAGCCGGATTTACTGGACTGATTTTCGGTTGGCCACCATGAAATCTTTGAGTCTAAATTTAGAAAAAAATTGTGTGATTTACTCAATGCCGTAGATGAGTTCAGTTGATTACTTACAATGCCTACAGGCCTGGATTTTGTCATTACTTCAGGCATCAGCTGTTTCGCTACTTCGGGTTTTAGCAGGATGTTCTGGAGAAAAAGAGATTTGTTGTTATTCTTTTTAAATAATCCATAAGGAAAAAAAATCAATTAACAAAAACTGGAAGTTTCCAATGGCTTTGATGGCTTAAAGATGATTTTCAATAAATGAGGAGAAAAAATCGGAACTCCATTTGTGAGTTTTATATCTACATATTTCCAACTTGTATTATCATTTAACAAAATCCTGAAAGTTTCAAATGGCTTAAAGTAGGTATTTTTCAAGAACCTCCAAATTCTAGAATAATCTATCCCTTTTTTGAGCAAATCAAGAAAGAAATGGAAGCACTTCTAAGGAAATTCTTTGATCGACCAAAAGCCAAACAATAAGTAAAAAGAGGCCAAATGACTGCAAAAATCACTACATTGTTTATAGTTGAATCCGACGAACAAAGTCACATCCTAAAGGAAAAGCTCTCGACTTTGTGCCTTCTTAAACATTTACACATACTTTCAGCGGTTCCGAGGTACAAAAAACTCAAAAAGGAAGTACAAAATCTTTGTTGAAGTTGTATGTTGTCTTATATGAAGATTCTTACCTTATGAACTGGAGTCGCTGCGCCACTCTTCATCTGCTCCTGCAACTTGACTTTCGTCTGCAACATTTCCAATTCCAAAGTTTTCTTCTGCAGCTCCAAAAGCTCCTTCTGTTTTTGAAGAAGTTGCTCCTGCATCAGTAGCGTTTCCTTGTCTATGTCGGCTGTTAAATGTTTACCAGCCAAAGCTTCCGTGTCCGCTGTATTTGAAGATATCTTTGACTTAGTTGTAGTAGGCTAAACAAAATCATTTATTTAATTGAAATAATTTATAATCATTAGAAAATCACATACAGTTGTGCTTTTTAGAAACTTGGGGTTTAAATGGATGCTATTGGCGGGCTGCGCAGTGACTGGCCAAGCGGGATCGATTTGACGGATTTGCACATCGATGGCGTAGAGTTTCATTTGGGGAAACACGTCGTTCCACGTTTGGCGCAGCTTGAACATTTCCAGTCTGGTTTTTTCGTCAACCTTAGATAGAAAGACCAGTAAGGAGAAAGTTTATTAGTGAATGGGGTTAAAAGTATGTGCGTGTGGAATAAGAAAAGTGATGTTATGTCAGAAAGAGTAGAGAAGATTCTAAGCTAGTTCTATTGAGTAATATATTTTTCAAGTCAAATCAAAACAGCTTTGTTGAATAAAGACCCATACAATTTTTTTTATCAGTCATACAACATTCACACTTTTTGAGGAAATTAATGAACATCCTTCAAAAATAAAATAAAAATTGAAAAGCAAGATCCTTTCACCAGCATAGAATCACCTTTTGGAATTTCCTATTTGTGATTCGATTTTTAAATCAAGTATGTAATAATAAAAGGGAAAACAAAGAAGAGAAGAAGTAGAATAGGACTGCATGGATGGATATTACAACAGGACTGACAAAGAGTCCATATTAATGAACTATGGATGAAAAAGTGATGACTTTTCGCGTTGAATTCATTCTTTGGCAAAAGTCTCAATGGTAAATAGCCCAGGAAACGAAGGTGTTACTAAAGAGATGGTAGTCGGGTTTTATTTTTTTCCGCTAGATTTTGGGGTGCTGATTACGAATCCGGCATATTCCCAAAAAAAATTCACCGAGATCACCCCGTTTACGGCCCCTAAAGGGAGTAGTTGTTGTTTTTTTGCAAATGTAGCCCTTCCAGTGCGTTGTACACAAAAAAACGTTTATGGTAAATTATAGAGGACTATATTCCCTACAATTTCTTCAGCGACAGCATAAGTCCATCACCTACCCTATAGCGGGGGTGGCGCCCCAAAGTCGACTACTTTTGAAAAAACATGCTTCTGCAAAACAATTTTTTTTCCGTCAATACAAATGCGAATCGAACTGAAAACCTGCGGATATTTATCACAGATGTATGACTGATTTTTGGTATATTTTTTAAAAATGGGCTATGGCGCATTTATAAAATACGGGGTTTCATCCTCTAAAAAACACACCTTTATATTGTCTGAATGGCTAATGCAAGAGTGTTCATATAGGAATTTTTGAATAGAAACCCTACATGAATAATCTCTGAAAATTTGAGATGATAACAAAGCTTTATAAAAGCTATATCGGGCCAAAGCTAGAATATGTTTGTACAGTGTGAAACCCCGGAACATCTTTTGCGTATCATATAAACTCATTTTCAATAAGAAGTACAGAGATGTTGGGATTTGTTATAAGAAATACTAAATTTTTCCCTATTGAGACCAACAAAATTGTTTATTATTCATTCGTGAAATCCATACTTGACTCAGTAGTATGGTTATTATTTTTTCAGGTTCACTCTGATTCAACATAAGATTTTAAGGGTCCGTGTGTTCAGAAATATTCATGGTATTATGGACGGTGACTATAAAAACTCGATAAAAAAGCATTTGTAGTTGCCTTCTTTGAGTGGACAAAAGGAAATGGTAAGGTTGATTTTTCTGACTAAAACTATAATTGGAATAGTTGATTGTCTCACTGATTCATACCAGATTAGTTTAAATGTGCCCTATTATCTTGGTTTGCACGATCATCCAACTTTGAACATTCCTTTTCACCGAACTACCTATGGTGCTACCGGCCCCTTGGATAGATATATTATGTCCAAGCTAAACAATCTAAACATAGTAATATGTATTTAACTTTGGCCAAAGTAAAAGGTGTAAAAATGTGATATCTTGCTAGAAATGTACCTATGTAATATTGATAATAAATCTTAATACATATTGATATTTGATGAGGATAATTTAAACTATAACCCAGACAGCACACAGTCTTGAAGATATATTTTTTAGGTTTGTCAAAACCAAAAAAAAAAAACGTCCTTTTGAAGATTTCCATGAGATGTCATATATTCTCATCTTAAAGTAAACTGCTGGAAAATTGGTTTCAAGCAAGGAAACTTATTCGCCTAACTTTCAAGCTGTTTTCACAGGCTGACAGATTGACTCTTTGTCAAAAATATCGAGCTTGAAAGGTAGGCGAAATTTTATCCTCGAAGGCAATTGTCGAGTTCATTTGGTATAACCCGGCCTAAAAGTGAATAATTATTTATGTATTGAAAAGAGATTCAAACACGTCTTTAATACATTTTGTTGAAGACGTATTTAGAATGTCTTTGTCCGAAAAACGTCTTTAGGCAGACATCTGAAAGACGTTGGGTTTTGTAACATATGACAGATGCCTTTAAGACGCCCTAAAAATGTAAGCAAGACGTCTTGCCTTTAAGACGCCTTAAAGATGTAAGCAAGACGTCTTGAATGTCGTTTTATTAGGGATGTCTACAAAAATTTCCTACAGAATTCGTTTCAGTTACTGGAAGCCATAGAATGGTAAGAACACTTTAGAACAAGGGATAAACCACCATTCCAGAATTTGTGCAAACAATTCCTCAAAGAGGAATTTTTCACTCATAATTCCTCAAAATTCCTGCAAATTCCTCCAGATACCCTATCACAAATTCCTCCAAATACCCCACCACAAATTTATCCAAATACCCCACAAATTCCTCTAAATTTCCTGCAAATTCCTCCAAACTCCTCTCAAAATTCCCACAAATGTCTCTTACAAATTCCCTAAAAATCCCCATAATTGCTCGTGATAAGAAATTTATTTTTTCTATTTTTATTGCGCTTAATTAAAATACAGGAGCAGTTTATCAAGTAAAATCGAGAGTAGAATCCAATGCAAGATTACGTTAGTTGAATTTAGAGCTAGAACTAATGATTGGATTTTGGTAATCCAGAATGCAGGGGTTCAAACTAACCTAAACCCGCATTTAATATTATTACTTAATTGATAAAAAAAAAACTTTTTAGGAAATTAAAACAAATATAATACAGTATAATACCAAGAATAATACACATCATGTAGCTACTTTTTAAACAACTTACGTACAGTCTCACAAATTTCAAAGTTTTCCTAGAATACTATCGAAGAGAAAATTTTGAAACTTTTTGCATGTAAAAAGGAAGATTATAAACTCATTTTCCCAAAATTTCAAATTTTTCCAGTAGAAAATAACAACATGAAGAATCTTAGAAATTAAGCTACAATAACTGAACTAGGTAATGGAAAATACTGTCTCACACAATTCAATGTTTTCCTGGAAAACTAGTGAAGAGAAAATTTTGAAACTTTTTGCATGTGAAGAGTAGTTAAGGCTCATTTTCCCAAAATTTCAAATTTTTCTAGTGGAAAATAACAACATGGAAAATCTTGGAAATCAACTTAAAAAAACTGAAATAATTGTTAATACAGTCTCACATAATTCAAAATTTTCCTGGAAAACTAATTAAGGGAAAATTTTGAAACTTTTTGCATGTGAAGAAAAATGTCAGAGAATGATTTTCCCAAAATTTCTAATTTTTCCAGTGGAAAATAACATGAAGAATCTTGGTAATCAACCTCCAATAACTGAATTAGTTGAAAATACAGTCTCACATATTTCAAAGTTTTCCTGGAAAACTAGTGAAATCAAAAATTTGAAACTTTTTGTATGTGAAGAGTAGTTAACACTCATTTTCCCAAAATTTCAAATTTTTCCAGTAGAAAATAACATGAGGAATATTGGAAATCAACCTACAATAACTGAATTAACTAAAAATAAAGCTTCACACATTTCAAAGTTTTCCTGGAAAACTAGTAAAGGGAAAATTTTGAAACTTTTTGCATGTGAAGAGGAAGGTGAGAAACTCATTTTCCCAAAACTTCAAATTTTTCCAGTGGAAAATAATAACATGAAGAATCTTGCAAATTAACCTACAAAAACTGTAGGAACTCATTATTGTTTTTTCATGAAGTGAAATTTTGGGAGAATTTCTTTAATGAAAATGAATGTCCCACGTTCAACACAAAACCAGATTTTTTTTTTTAATTTCCATTTATTAGTGTTTCTTATAATAAGAATGTGAACCTCAGTGACGTCATGACTCTACAATTTCCTTTAAATTCCTCATAAATTTTTTACAAATTCCTCCAAATTCCCAATAAATTTCTCAGAATTCCTTATAAATTCCCTAAATTCTCATAAATTTCGATGAACTCTTCAAATTCCCCACATTTTTGGCAAAGAATTCCTAGGTGGTTCACCCCTTGCTTTAGAACGTTAATAAAACTTTTGGAACATTCAAAACACTTAAATTTCAATCCAGAATTTCCAAAAGCATTCTGTAGTTCTTCAGAACATTTCGGAAATTTCAGAACCATTTTAGAATACCCCAAAACATTCAAAAACCGATTTACAATTTACAAAAGCATTTTAGAACAGTTCAAATGTTTGAAACCCATTTTAGGACGCTCCAAAATACTGTAGAATCTCCAGAAACATGTCGAAAAGCGTTAGAATCTTAAAATTCAGGTTAAGTTACAAAAGGCCTTTCAGAAGGTTTTCAATAAATTTAGATTGCTGTAGAACTTAGACCTGTAATAAGCATCCAAAACAGTTCAAATGCAAATCAGAATTTTCAGGAGCATTTTGGAACAATTGAGAAACTTTTAGAACAATTAGGATTCAATTTGGAACTGGAAACTTTTTAGAACTCTTTTGAATCAATTTAGAACACTTTGAAGTTTCAATGAGGCTCTAAAATACTTAAAAATCTGTCAGAATAATTTAGAAATTACTGAAAAACTTCTAGAACGCTCCAGAACTCTTCAAGCCAAGCTAAAACACTCAAAAACTTCAATAAGCCATCGTTTCAAAACACTTTCCAGCGGCAACCTCAGAATTATTTCAGAGAGACTAGCGCCTGGAATAGACACAAATTGAAAGTTATAATATGAGTAATAATAAGGAAATATTAGCAAGAAAATGTTTCTCTTTTAATTCAAATTGATCAATTTTTATATTTTTTTGTATTCCAGGTTCTTGATATCTGGGAATGCACTTATGCAAACACAAAAAACTCATACATTAGTTCCTAATAGAGATTCAATTGCATAGCTAGGCTGTTATTGTTTACATTAATTACAATACAATTAATTTAGTGTTAATACTTTCTAAGATAATGATTAGCGAGATTATTGTTGATTATTTTCCTTACTTACGATTGTTTTTAAAGTATTTTTTGTTTTTCTTTTACCTAACCAACTCATAATACTCCTGTATAATACCATTCTGTTTTATTTACATTTACAAATTTATTTTTAAGTTATTTTTCACTGGGTAGGTATACATGTAGAGTATGAATGAGAGTATGGAATGTATATCTGGATGTGCGTACTTAGTTCTCTATTTTTAAATATGGTTTATTTCAGCTTTGTCAATGAATATCATGTATTTTGGAAGTATGTTTTGATTTGATTTGATAAATAAATGAATAAAACAAAAAGTGAAAATAAAACTTTGTTAATTAGAGCCCAAGGACAAAACTTATTGGTACTTACCACTTTAAAAACATTACAGAAAGTAGCCACAATATTGTGACTAAACAGCCCTTTATAGGTGTCGCCTACATTCTTCACTATACAGTCGATAAGGTATAAGATTGGGAGTTTTACATCTGTATTGACCTGTTTTGGGGAAGAAAAAAAAGCTGCTTGATTACCTTTGGTTTTTTAAATGTTCTCGAGGAAGGTGAGCTAATAATTTGACCAATGTTGGTAAAGCCAAAGGTACTCAAGGGTCGGCAAATCTGAAAGAAAAATGTTATATCCTATTGTTAGTTTTTGAATAAACACAATTTGAACCTATGGAATAATAATGATAAAACACTAATTTATTATCCAATATAAGTGAGTACCTACCTTTACCCAAACTTCCCAAGATTTGAACAGATCTTTTGCTTTATAAAAATCAGTGATAGCTGAAGTAAAAATCTTTTGATTTTATATTTAAACACGATTTCATATGTTGCTAACCAATTTTGCACTACATTGAGGAAATTTAGCCTTTGTTCATATAGGTACCTATTATTTTGAAAATAAACAATCTATGATAAATTGTGGAAAAATTAGCTCACCTTACTTCAAAAAAATTTTATTAAAAAATATCACACAAAAAAAATAGGAACCGAATTGGTTACCAACAATTATTGTTGTAAATTTGTGGCTTTTTTGAACATTAAACACTAAAATAACAAGAATAAAAATTAAACCTTAGCGAGTTGCTCTTCGATAGCCTCTACAATAGTCTTAGCGTTTGATAAGTTTTCTTCGGCTAGCATAGTCAACACGTTGATCAGGGGCTTGCTGTTGAAAGTCAAATCCGCCAGACTGGACATGTACTCGGTTTTAATGTCCTCTGCCATTTTCGCGAATACTGAAATAAAATGTTTGCGTTTATTTTTAATAATAAATAATTAGAACAATGGGAAAAACCATTTTTTGCACATGACTTTTAACAAGGTCGCCGATAACGGCAACCTTGTCTGGTTTAAAACATGTAAACAATTCTTTAAGGTTATTAACAGGCTTATATGGCCAATGTTGCCAAGCTTTGTTCATGATAGAGGAGCCTCTTAATTTAATTACACAATAATTATTAATCATTTTTAATCAATTTAAACAATGATTGGTGATTAATAATAAGAAACAATAAAAAAATACAGAAAAAAAACTAGAAATTAAAGTTGCTAGGCTGTTACGTGAATGATGGCGTATGGTGCAATCAAATAAGGATTTATTATAGAAATGAAGCATTATAATACTTACCTAAATACGTTTAAAATCACTAAAAATATGTCCCCTGTGGATTAATCACCATTCTCTCCTAAAATTGCACTAAATTGTTGTTAAAAAGTTACAAATACGACAACACCAGCACTTTCATTCGATTATTTTTTTACACAGACAAAAATGGCGACCAATTTTCTGGTGTGCGTGACGCTGTATTTTTGACACTGGAATCGATAAGAAGCGCTTTCGAAAATGAATAGTGGGAACTGCACTGGAACATTATCAGTGTAACTTCTAAACTAAACTAATCTATTTCATCTCCAGATGTGATTTGAATTCAAACCGTTTATTTTGATCTCGATTTTGATGGAGAAATAATTGGATTTTAAGTACTTTTTGAAATTTACAGGTAGGTACTGATGCCTTTTGGGCTTTGATGCGTTTCAAACGGCAAATTAAAAGGTAATTATATGCATATTTTATGTAATTTGATTTTATGAGGGCCTCTACCCCAGGGTTAACGGTTAACTGGTAAACGGTAAACTACTGAAGTGTCAGGTATATTTGTACTTATAGTTATAAGGGTCAATAAATATATGGACCTGCTTTTGTTAAAGGTTTAAATCAAAGATAACTAGCTTTAATCAGATTCTTAGAATGCTTTGATAAAATTACCAATAATCTTGAATTTTCTCTTCAAAAAGAACATTCTGATGGAGCATTTACTTCACTCCGCCGTATAGTGGAACGCTAATGGAGTCACCCCAAATACACCAAAAAGCGATACCCGAACGACTGGAGTGCGAATGGAGTCACTCGGAGTGAGCATGCCGAACCCACCTATAAACATCTACTGCTTGATTACCTTGCGAAAAATTGCCTAATTTAAGCCTAGTACTCATAAGTTGTATTCCTTTCACATCTAAGAGGAGCTCCGGAACAGCTCCGGGGATTCACGCGCTTATTCCTTTCGAAAAGTGTTTGTTGCATCACGCATCTGTTCCCTGTAAATCGGGGGCGACTGAACACCGAAGCGAGTAGCTCGAGTGTTTCAAACACTTGAAAGGAATACAACTATAACCGTGAAATTCGCTCTTTTTGCCATATTCCGACAATTTGGGCGTGAGAGGGCGTAACCCAAGAATCGTAAACTCTACAGGATTGCTCAATCGGCTAAATTTGTTCACAATTGCTGTGACGTCACGCGCATGCCGGATTTTCAAGATGGCCGCTGATACGAATAATGTTTAGTTTGTGCTGACAACTATTTTATCGTAAATTCGGATTTATCTAGTGTTATAAGTGTAAATTTAAAGTTTCATTTAATGTGTGTAAGCATAAAAGACTCGTGGCTGAAAATACTCGCGAAAACCCCAAGCATTTTCTGGTTTTATAATACTGGATTTGTTGTATCAGGACATCGCTCTTTTATTTGTGTGTATTGCTAGTTAGTATTTCCTACAGTGGCTAAATAAACCTTTACATACAGTGGCGACAATAGAGGTCCCGCCGCCATCTTGTTCCCAACCTCTTGTTGCTTTTAAATAATAATATATAGGATTTAAATGGACATCTATCATAAAAAATTGAAATCGACCTATTTGATGACCAGTATTAGGTTAATCAAATACGTTGTTTTTCATGATTTATGATGGATGTTCACCTAAATCCCATATATTCATATTTAAAAGTAACAAGAGGTTGGGAACAAGATGGCGGCGTTTTCAATATAAATATATGGGATTTTAGAACCAATCAAAAATAAGACAGCAATTGTCGCCACTGTGGTAATAGAGTCACTGTAGTATTTCCTAGTCAAGCATTTGTTTTGCTTTTTTTTTTATAAATCAAATATCTACTTATTTGTAAGTTTCCTTTGCATGTAATTACTAATAAAAATTAGGGTTTGTGAAGAGTGAATAAATAAATATGTAAATAAATTCCTTTACTGGCGCGTTTACTATGAAAACGCATGGAAAATATGGGAAACTTGCAATGTTTTTCTGGAATATGATTATGAGAATCTAAATTAGGTATCACTATTTGGCTTTGTGAAATAAGCTCACTTTGAATGTCCATATTAAATCGTTCTAGTACCTATTAAATTAATGAATAATAATTGAGAAGTACCTAGGTAGGGTCAGTAAAAAATAAAGCACACTATTGCAACCCCGTTTCGCTTATATTTTGATATTGAAATGCAAAATTAAACCGGCTCGGCACTCCACATTTGGTTTTCTACTGTTTCTCAACTGTAGTCAATTGTGCCCGTTTTGTGCTCAATTGTGCCAGTATTTATGCGAATTGTGCTCATTTTCATACACAAAAAAAAAACATTGAAACGAATCCGGGGGCCAGCTTGACTCCAGCTTGACTCCAGCCCTTCGTTTTTTTGACTTTTTGGCAATATGTTTGGCTAATTGATAAACAAAAGCAAACAAACTCGTCTTTCTAATTAGCAATTAGCCAACCACTCAAGCCTCAAGGACACAAGCTTTTGAAGTCTGCTAATTTTAAAATCAATAAATTAATTACAAAATACAGTTTTCAAAGGAAATAACCTCAAAATAACAATTTTTCACGTTTGAAAATGCAAGGATAGTGCACTGTCATAAAAAACACAAACCGATCAAGGACTGCGTGACGTCATTCGCATACCGCCATCTTCGATGTTTTTATGAACGTTTGTCTTATGGGATTGAGCAATCCTGTAGAGTTTACGATTCTTGGGCGTAACCTAAGAATATTCACTGACACCTCAACTGACACCGCCTGATGACAACCATGTCTTTGGGTTCAGTGGCACCGAAAACACTAGGGAAATAAAGCAAAAAATTATTAGGAAAAAAATTCTTCAGTTTCACCAATAACCACGCCACTGGTGCTGTCGTTCAGGCTCTAACCAATAGAATCATGCCTCTGAATAATCACGCCTCTCCACATCCTTCATTTCGCAATGCTGCCGGATTTTATTCTATTTCAAAATGCTACACATACCCATATTGCAAAAAAAATTTTTTTTTTTTGCAATATTATGCAAATTTATTGTTTCTGTCAAGTTTGGCAAAGCAGCAAATTCTATTGGAGTTCGCCGTTTCGCTAACCAGACAATACGTCCACCGAAAACAGACACTTTTAATTAAAATCATTTGTATTTTTAATTCATAGGTCTAAAAAAACAATTAGAGCATGAATTTGAGAAATATGTTCAAAGTTTGACATATAATAGGTTCAAATACTAAGAAATGCCCAGAACCCAAGAACCCTTTTCACGTGGCTCCGGTTTAACAAACCGCAACATACCGCTCAAATTCGAGTGGTAGGTATCCATCACGTCATTTTGTAACCGGGTTAGAAAACGGTATGTCATTTCTCTAACCGTTTTGTAACCCGGTTAGCTGAGCCGGAGCCACGTGAAAAAAGAACTATTATATTCCCGTCTGAAAATCACTCTTTTGAATCCCCCATAAGAAATACATTGCTGTCAAATTTGTTGAAATGTGTTTAGGAACCCATTTTAAATTTCGCGCCCGATTTTTCCTAACCACACTAATATGGTGAAAATGTGTTTTTTCTACTACCGTGCGTAAAGTACTGACTTTACGCACTATTCAGAAGACGTAAAATTTACCTTCACGCACTAGTGCGTAAAGTAATGTCAATGACAGAAGTTGACACTGTCAATTTGGCATTTTTCTGGTAAATTACTTCACGCACTAGTGCGTAAAGTGAAAATTCTTTAGGCACTAGTGCGTAAAGTATTTGTTTCAAATTATTTTTTCACACATATTTGTTGGGTAGTAGAAAAAAATTTGTATGCAATTTGTGCGTAAAACACCTTTTTTCACTCATCACATTCGTGAAAAAAGGTTCACTTTACACACTTGTTGCATAAATAACTAATTTTCTACTGACATTTCATAATACGCTATTAAACGATTAAAATCTGTATCATAATGAACTTCATTACGATACAGATTTTCATTATAATACTCATTTTTAATATTATACAATGTTGATAGATGGCAGCACTAGTTCAGATATTAAACATTTTAAACGGTGATTTTGCGTAAAACAATTATTTTGATAACTATAAAAAAGACTCCGAATTGTTTAAAAGTTACCTTAAGTTTGGGACAAAGAATAATTATTATGGAAATCATGAATGATAAGGAAGAATTTTTACTTTCTTCATTATTATGCATTGTCAATAGATGGCGCCACGAGTTAAAAAATTTTGAATTTTTTTTTTTTGAATGTTGGCAGCACTGTTTATAACTTTTCCATGGTAATTTAGCGAAAAACAATAATTTTATAAAAAAAATACTTCAAATTGTTATTAAAAGTTAATACCTTAAGTTTGGGAGAAGGCATTATTATGGAAATATTGAGCGATAACGAGGAATTTTCACTAACACCTCCAGAAATTACAGAAAGGGCGACAAATGCAGGTAATAATATACTACCGGACAAGTCCAAGAAAATTTACGAAAAATTATATGGACAATTTATGGATTGGAAACACCAAAAACACATCATCCTTCTCAGAAAATGTTTTGATAGTATATTTTGAAGAATTACAACAAAAAATGAAACCTTCAACTGTATGGATTACTCAATTATGAAATCTCTATTCAAAGTTAAGCATAATGTTGACATATCTAAATATCATAAGTTTAATCAATGGCAGTAGAAAAAATAGTGTATGCAACTCTCATGTAATGGCCATTAATACACTCGCATGTTATATACGAAACTCGCCTACGGCTCGTTTCGTATCCTACAACATGCTCGTGTATTAATGGCTATCATTACATGATCATTGCATAATATACTAATTTTTTTTTTAGTTGTTACAAAAAATTAAATAGTATATTGTTGTATTAGGAGTAGAACGAGGAGTAGAAGCTTTACTTTTTTGTGCTGAAGCAGTAGGTTTGCGAGCCGAACGTAGTGAGGCTTGCAATACTGCTGAAGCGTTCGGTGAACGGCAGCCGCGTGCGAAAAAATTCATTTTCCGCACTTGTTAGGTAAATAGCTATTTCGTTTCGTGTTCCAAAATCGCCCACAGTGAAAGGAAAACCTGAACTAGTTCATACAGCGTGTCCCGCTTTAAGCCTAGTATTCATTACTGCGAAATTCGCTCGTTAAGTTTATTGCAGTTTTCACAAAAGTTCATTAAAATTGGCTTTTTCCAACCGACGATGGCGGGCTTATAAATTTAACAGTAACAAGGTTAGGTACCTAAATCATTCGATGCAGAATTTTATGTTCTTCAACTTTGAATATTATGACATTTTCCGGGCGATGCGTCGTTTGCAAGATATGATCAGAAAACCGGAAAAAGTCCGAAAATTTCGAGGTTTTTCGTGATTTTCGGCCTGAGCCGGTTCTGCTACGAGGCAGCAAACTTCAGATACGTACTCAGCAGCCGAAAAAATATATAATTCCGTTGAAAAACTTTCTATTGCTTTCATGTTACTAAAAAATTACCATTTGATTGGACTAAATCTCTTATTACAAATCCGACAAGTTCTTAGTTGAACTTGACCTGACTTTCCTCAGGAAAGTCACACTTAAATAAAAAAACACAAAAATTAATAAAAATTAAAACTTTTTTATTTACTAATATAAATCTGTTCAAAATATATAAATAAAATAAATGTTAAAAATCTGTAGTAGGTATTTAATATTATTTTCACAAGGCACTACTAATGGTAGGTAATAATTTTTTTATAAAACTCTTCAACGGGACCCGTATTTGATAATCTACAGCGGGGTAACTTAAAAGAAGCGGACAGGTAACTTGGGATTTATTAAAAGAAAATAAAGCAAAGTTAAAAGAATAGTACACGCCTTCTCTGTATAAAAAATAAAAACAATTTTTAAGCCTAAATAACTCGTGTGTGATGGCACAGTGAATAAAAAGAAGCTGTGTACAAGGAAAACCTAAAACTACATATTAATTAACATCTCTGTTATATCACAAAAATTTAAGTTGTCTTTTTATTTATTTATTTTTTTTTATATAAAACTTGTTCCGTTTTTCCTTCAAGAGAAAAATGTCACAGTTCTAATATGTAAGCAAGCAATAATCTTAAAGCACAAATTATATAAATGAAAAAATAATTGGCTCAAGCAACTTGTTAATTAACAACCCAAAAAAACTATCAGGTAATATTAGAAAATATTTCTTACCTTAACAAAAGGGACAAAACTGGCCTAACAACAAACAAAAAAGTTTGTTGTGTTGTGAAGGCCCATTTTGTCCTCAAAAACGTTCATATAAAAATATATCTTACTATACTAATATGGTGCAAAAGGTACAAATCGCTATAAGCTACTAGAGTAGAAAAAATATAATAAATTAACACAGGAAATAAAAGTGAACAACGAGACATATTTTGGCAGTAACAAAAATTAACAGTTGCCAAAACAATTAAGTGGCATAGCTTAGGTTTATAAGTATTATAAAAGGAATAAAGTCTAAAAAACAAATTTTACTTTTTTTGGAATGCTCTCTTATAGTTTTTTCTGCAAAAAATTGCAAATCAATTAATAACAAATCAGATCTTTTTAATAACAATAATTAACAAGTATATGTAGCAATAGGCGCAGTAGAATGTTAACTTTGATAATTTCACGAAATAGGTTCTGACTATCTCAGTAGTGGAGGAAAAAATGTACCTAGCCAAATAAAATTTTCCACGAAAGTTGTGCTGTATTGTACATTTTCAATCTAACTGCGCCTATAATTCACTGGACTACATACTAACTTAAATTTATTGAACGTTACAGTCAAGGAATAGTTAAAATAAATTTTACTGGCCTGAATTGCTTTTCAAAGGGGGGAAAGGGTGAATTTAAGGGCACACTGGACATTGCTTTGGAAATATTTAGGACTTTAGTTGAATAATTAAACAATTTTGCAAGTGCCCATTCATTTTACAGTACTGACTGAATGCCATCACTAATAAATTTAAAATTATAAATTATTATCTGCCACGTTTCAACTATTAAAACTTTTCAAAAGAAATTAAGCTCGTATTAGAAAATCCCTAAATTCTATTATCCTAATTATAAATATCTAACGAGTAGCGAATTGTAACTTAATTAGACCTTAATTAATGAAGAGACACCGGGAAAAAAAAAGGAATTGCACAAAAATTTTTTTCTTTTGATAATCCGTATGTAGTGCCCATCAGCGGATATATTATAGATAAAATGAAATAATTTAAAATCGTATACAAACATTTTTGGGTCCCAAAAAAAAACATTGAGGGTAAAGGTAAAGGAAGTAGACGTAATTTTAGTCTATAGGTTTTTCTCAAAGAATTAATAACAGCCCAGACAGCACACAAAGTCTTAAAGACGTCTTTTTTAGGTCTGCATCACGTCTGAACGTCTAGAAGACGTAAGATATCGTAAATTCACATCTTAAAAACAACTATTCAGTACAACCAGGACTAAACGTGAATAATGGTTTGTGTATTAAGAATGGCATTATCCAGGAAAGTGAATCGCCAAATTCAAGCCCCATATTGTTAGTTGAAAAAAAAAATGGGGAACCGCGTATGTATGTCGTCTATAGGGCTTTGAATTCCAAGACCATCAAGGATCGATTTCCACTACCTCACGTTAACGATTTTTTATAAAAACTTTTACAATTTTAGACAAGTTTAGATTTAGCCAGCGCCCATCATCAGATTCCAATCGAAAAGTCTTCAATTCCCAAGACTGCATTTATTACGCCTGATGGCCATCACGAATATTTGCGTGTTCCTTTTGGATTATGTAATGCTGCCGTGATTTTTCAAAGGACAATTAATAAAGTCTTAGGAAATCATCGATATGGAAATGGTAATGTGATAGCTTATATGGATGAGGTGCTTCTGCCTCAAAAATATTTTGACTCTGGTTTAGTCATGTTAAAAACAGTGTTTGAATCCATTAGAACAACTGGACTAACTTTAAGATTATCCAAGTGTCAGTTCTTTATGGAGAGAGTGGAATATCTTGGTCACGAGATATGCAGATTCTGTGTTCAACCTGGAAAACGAAAATCTGAAGCTATCCAGTCCCCACACATGTTCATAAAGTTCGACAGTTTGTTGGTTTAGCTAGCTACTTTTGAAAGTACATACACGATTTTGCTACGATCACTCATCCTTAACGAAAAAGGATGTTACATTTTCTTGGGGTATTGAACAAAGTAAAGCTTTCGATACTCTGAAGGAAAAATTATCATCACGACCAGTACTAGCTATATATGATCCAAGTTTAAAAACTGAAGTGCATTCGGATGCATCAAAATGGGGTATTATTAGCATACTTTTGCAACAGCAAGCTGATAACACATTGAGACCTGTCATGTACTTTTCTGGCCAAACCACCAAGGATGAACAGAGATACCACTCTTACGAACTTGAAACCATAGCTGTGGTGGATGCACTTTTAAACATTTTCGACTATATCTTATTGTAATTGAATTTGAGGTTGTCACAGATTATAATGCGGTCAGAACTACGCTCTGTAAAAGAGATTTTATACCTCATATTTGAAGATGGTGGCTCCTAATCCAGACGTCTTGAATGCCGTTTATGGACAACTTAGAGACGTCTTCAAGATATACGCCTCTGTGCTGTCTGGGTATGAGACAAGATGCAGAAAACTTTGCTTAACAAAGAATCTCACCCATGACGGGTTTTTCTCTATTACTTCTGGTCAATGGTCTTTTCGAACATCACCATCCTGCTGCATGTCAGCGGACAAAGAATTTGTTTGATTGCTCTTTCCAAAGCCTCAGACTAAGAACAGTGCTTGATTGAGTTTAATTTGACTCAAATTTATTAAATTTTATGTTTCGTTTGTTTTCAATACCTTTTTATTTTTGTATGTAATATTACGGCCGTAACCTTTACCTTTAGTTATGAAATTTCGCGATTCTTCAATCAAAAATTAATCTTTTTTGTAACAAATCAATACAGGAAACACTGGGATTAGTTGTTAATATAAGGACAAATAATTCAGACCATACACCCGTTATCTATCCCTTGACTGTTACCATAACCCTGAGCCGAAGTGTAATTGTTATGACAGGGCGAACTGGCGTAGTACGGATTTATACTATCCAGATTGATAAACTGTTGGCTGTCGTAGTCCTCAATATCCTCGACTATTATACTCGGAGGTCGGCTGTAGCTCATCGTCGGCCTCGTATAGGTCAATTGACTGGATATTGTTATATTGGGCCTTGAGTAAATCTATAGAAAATATAAAACCATGAAGATTCTCCAAATAATACACTATTAATTTTTACCTCTTGGTTTTGATCCCTAAATGAATTAACTGATGGTGGCCTACTATACGAATGATGCTCTATAACGGAGGATACCGGAGGAAGCTTGTAAATGCTTTCTTTCGTTGCAGGACCAATGCTGTGCTGACATTGAGGCCTAAAACAATTGTCATCATAAAATAACCTATTATTTAACACCAAACACAAGTTACTTACCTGTGAGCTGATAAAACATCCATCAGCATCCGCTCCTGGTTCCTAAGCTCTTGTAGCTGATTTTTGAGGTCGATGTTTTGAGTTTCCAGCGTTTCGGATTCGTGAATCAGGTTGGCGGTTCGTTCGCGTTTTTTCAGACGGCATTTCGTCGCCGCGATTTTGTTGCGTTCGCGTCTACGTCTGCGTCGTTCTTCGTCTTCCGGCGTCAACTAGAACAAAAATTATGACTGTTGTAGAATAATTCAATCACCCACCCACACTGAGGTATTGGGTGGATGTAGCGGTTTTTTTTTTGTTGGAAATGGCAAGAGCAAGCGAATTTAAAAAAAATATTTATATGCGAAATGCTAATTTGCTTATAGCCGGTTTTGCGGGTTTTTGAAACCGAGACGCTTTCTTTTATATAAAATCGTGTGTTTGTGGAGGTGTGGAGGGAGCCTTTGAATTTTTGGATGAATTTGAAGACACTTATTGATAATGATATTTCATAATCCTCAAAGTCTGAATACTGTAGCGTTAAGAGCGCTCTATTTTCAATGTAATGCGTAAATTTTCTTACATAAAAAATTCCAGTCCTTGTTACCCAGTAAACACATCGGTGACATTTTAACTTGAATTTTATGTGAATAGGTACTACATATAATAATATTTATGTAAAATTTACTGAACCAATCGCCACGAAATTTTGTCTAATTGTAGATCTTGATTACGGCGTCAAGAAAGGTTATTTGGGGCACCTAGCCCTTGAGCTTCCTTTTCCAGATAATCGGCCTTGAAGGTTTTCCAAAATTAGAGACAAAATTTCACTTTCAGGCTCAATATTTCAAACAGTATGTTAGATAAATTATTCAATTTTGTTTTATCTTAAAGACCATTCAATTCTGATTAAGAATATATGAATATGCATTAATGTTATAGAACATTAGATTAAAAAAAAATATATAAAAAAAGAGTTAGCAAAGCACGCTGAAAAAAAAAACAATGGGTTGTTGCTATGGTTATTTTTTGTTTTTGTGTGTATGAGTATGACGTTCTGCCAAAAGATCTGCCAAGAAAGATCAAAACTTCCCCACAATTAAGTACTGCTGTTGCCGAAAGCAAGATTTTGGAATTTAATTTCTTTGTTGGTATGTGAGTGAAGATGAAGAGCAACGCTTATTAGTGGCCTCAGCCATAAACACCGAAAAAAGCGTTGACATGGCGCCCAACTAAGGTTTTTAAAAAATAATTAGTGGATTATCCCTTTTTCACAACAAAATTAACTTCACAATATTATGGCAAAAATCAAGAAGAATCTGAAATGTGTTCTGCTTTTATTGCTAGGAAACAGGGTCTCTTGGACCGTCTTTTTCCAGATTCGCCTGAAAATCAATTGATCAACTTACTGGTAGAACAATTCCTGCGCAAATATTCGAGGTCTGTATTTCAATAATATGCAACAGCTTTCACATACAGTTACAGCCATAGAGAATGATTTGAAGAAAGAGCAGATGCGAGATACCTGCTACGTTCAATGCAAATAGAAAAATTACTAAAATTAATTCTACAAATTACAAAAATGCTGGATCGAAAGGACCACCTAGTGCTTGTAAATTTTGAGGTGATTGGCATTTCCATAATGAATGTTCACAAAATCCATATTTAGCTAGAAATGGAGGAAGAAATCACAGGTATTTTCAAAGAAATCCATCACCCCAAATTGACGACTCAACTTACTATCGACAGGGAAACGCCAACAGGGGAAATCGCAATCCTGTGGTAGACCCATCCTAAAAAATTATTCAGCAGGGAAACCAATAGATTCTCCAAAAATTCCTATATCAATAAATAATTTTTAAATTAATGCCCTTGTAGACACAGACACATATGTATTGATACAGGTATCAGACGTACTATTTACCTTTCTTCATCTTTTCAAAATCATCTCATACAAAGCTTTCCCGAATTTGATTTAAATCATTTAGATACAAAAGCTTCAAAATAATTATCAAAAACTGCTAACAGAATTTTCTTATCGTTTTGATGAATCATTGAAACGACCAATGACACGAAGTATTCAACATGACATAAGACTAAATTCAAATAAAGTGGTAAAAACAAAACCATATTTCTCAAGTGAACATAAAAAACTTATTTTAAATGAACAAAGTCAGTGAAATGTTGACTACTGGTGTTATTGAACCTTATTCTGTTTCACCCTATTCCTCATCTCCCGTAATAATCGAACGAATGGGAAAAAAGCCAAGATTCTGTGTTGATTTCCGCAGATTGAATGAGATAAGAGAAGACGAACCTATTAGATTACCTAAAATTCATGAAACACTAAAGGAATTGGGATCTGCATCAATTTTTACATCATTTGATCTAAAAAGTGGATATTGGCAAGTGAGCTTATCAGAAAAGTCTAAGCCTTTAACAGCATTTTCAACATCAGATGGAGGGCATTATCAATTTACAGTTTTGCCTTTTGGACTTAAAAATGCCCCTAGCAGTTTCCAAAAGCTTATGTCGCAGGAAGTTCTGACAGGTTTTCTACATTAATTCACCTTGGTTTATCTTGATGACATAATCGTTTATCCCAAAAATCACGAAGATCATAGAAAGCATTTAAGGTTTGTGCTAGAAAGACTAGTATCCACCAACTTCAACGTTCAATAAAAAATGTAAAGGACCCCGCCCTAATCTTATGGAAATTGGGTCCCGGCTGAATTTTCTGCCACTCTGGCATATGATAGTTTTTGAGCTTCTGATCAAAACCTATCATTGCGCAAATGTGCTACCATCGCTAGTTTTCAACATATTGGGCCTTTTTTTTTGGTTTTTTGGGTCGCGCTCGGAAGCGGTAAACGTCAAAAGGGTTTGACTTGTTCTGAAACTCGAGTCTGTTTGATCAGTTTTTGAAGTGAAAACTTCTGGGTCCTTATTCTTGAAATAGGGGAGCACCGCTCCCAGGAGAACGAGTGTTCTGTTTTCGTTACTTATATTAATTTTCATATCATTGAGAAAGACAGAACACTCGTTCTCCTGGGAACACTGCTCCCCTGTTTCAAGAATAGGGACACTGGCGTGTTTCAATAAGCGGGTGCTTACGCCAATATGTTATCATTTATGTTGCAGTTGTTTGCATTTTAGATTTTGTTGAAGTTTGTATGACATATTGTTAGGTCTGTTTGTACAGAAATCACAAACCAGTCAGAGTGTCAGAGTAAATTTCATTGGTTGAAACTAGTTTTGCGACTGTTTTCACCCAATCAAATTCACTCTGACTGGCTTGTGATTTCTGTGCGAAGTGTGAACAAACCTATTGACAATAGACGTCAAAACCTTTTGACGTTTAACGGTTCCGAGCGAGACCCAAAAAACTAAAAAAAAGGCCCAATAACTTGAAAACTAGCGATGGTAGCACATTTGCGCAATGATAGATTTTGATCAGAAGCTCAAAAACTATCATATGCCAAAGTGGCAGAAAATTCAGCCGGGACCCAATTCCATAAGATTAGTGCGGAGTCCTTTGCTACAAATCAACTGGACTTTCTAGGACATACAATAAATGGTAGTCTAAATATGCCTCAAACATATCATTTACAAGAAATTAACAAATACCCTGTTCCTCGAAATAAAAAAGAACTTCACTTATATATATATATATATATATATATATATATATATATATATATATATATATATATATATATATATATATATATATATATATATATATATATATATATATATATATATATATATATATATATATATATATATATACTGGGTGAATCCGAAAGTGAGGTTTTTTTTTTAACGGGATATATATCTCACCAAAATAAGTTGTTTGGCAAAAAATTGTTTATACAAAAAATTTAAGATAACGGAGTTACAGGTATTTCAAGGTCTTAAGAAGACTCCAGGGTCCTTATTCTCAAAACATGGGAGCAGCATTCTTATGAGAACGAAGGTCCTATCTTCGCCGCCTTATTTGCCCATACTCATGTTTGCATAACACTGACAAAGACCAGATCAATCGTTCTCATGAGAACGCTGTTCCCCAGTTTCGAGAATAGGCATCCAATTATAAAACATTTTGCTTACATTTTCTCGGAAAAAAGCAGTTATTTATCCAGCATAATGAGTTTTTTTCCATAATAGATAATCTACAGTTGCATTATTCCATCAGAAAAATCAATCAAAAACTCCTTTTTCCATTTTCAACTTAATTATTTTTATATCTTCAAATACCTGTACCTCCGTTATCTTAAATTTTTTATGTAAAAAAATTTTTGCCAAACAACTTATTTTAGCGAGATATATACCCTGTTAAAAAAAAAGCCTCACTTTCAGATTCACCCTGTATATGTTGAAAATTTTTTTGTGGGGATGCCACAAAAAACATTTTCCTAAATTATATATATATATATATATATATATATATATATATATATATATATATATATATACATATATACTCTATCAAATTGGAATAAATAGAGAGAAACAAGAGCCATTATGGCTCCGGTTCAAAAGAGCGTTATTTGAAATAGCGACATCAAAAAAGCGACATATTAATAAAGCTACATATCAAAATAGCGACATTCAAAACAGCGTTATACAAAAAAAACAGCGACATATCAAAAGAGCGACATTCAAAAGGGCGATACTTTAAAACCAGCGACAAATCAAAAGAGCGACATGTAAAACGGCGACCTCTAAACAAAAGAGCGACACATCAAATTGAATCAATAATAAATAAATGCAGACTTACTCAAACTAACCCGTCCGCCTAGTGCGATTTAGTCCTCGTAAGTTAGCATTTCATTGGAAAAACAAAGCTAATTCAGTTATAGCGTAGCGTCTCTTGAGCACACGAATCAATAATAATCAAGAAAATGCAGACTTACTCAAACTAACCCGTCCGCCTATTGCGATCTAGTCCTCGTAAGTAAGCATTTCATTTGAAAAGCAAAGTGTGCTCAAGAGACGCTACGCTATAACTAAATTAAATTTGTTTTTCAAATACGGGCATTAGACGTTATTTTATTACATGCTGAAAATGTCCTCCTCCCACAGTTTGACAATGGGCTAGGTTATAATAAAATTTATTGATGACGTTTTGTAACATTTCTTGTTTAATAGATGCACATTCTTCAATATTTCTTCTTCTCAATTCGTTCAGATCTGGAGGTTTTGTCACAAACACTTTATTTTTCAGATGTCCCCAAAGAAAATAATCAAGGGCCGTTAGGTCTGGTTACCATTTTGAACCAACTCGAAACAATGCAAAATGTAGGTAATATCGTACTTATCGTATTGTCCTTCAACTCAAATTATTTCTGAAACTAATGGGTTTAGCCATATGACATGTTTCATAATTGTTGTTTAGAATCTCTAGAGGAATTAGAAAATGTAATTAAAAAAGGATCATTCCATTAAAAAAAAATTAAGTTTTGTGTAGCACAACTTTTTGGGCCACCCTGTATAATTACATAAGTCCTATTTCAATAGATTTTATTAAGACCTTCAACTTTTATACACGAAGTTTTTTTATATTGTGCACTATTTTCAAAATAATTGACTGTTCCGGGACTTTTTACACACTGTGTATATAAAATGTGCGCATTTCTCGGAGATTAAACTACCTGTATCTCGAAAACTAGTCATAGGATCAAGTTGTGGCTATGAACACTTTTAATCAGAATGTTGAGAGGAGCATCATATCAAATTTTCAGAAAAATTGACCGAAACCCAAAATCCCATAAGAAGTGTGCCCTTGAAGAAAAAAACGAAAACCCCCGAAGAGCCAGAAAAAACCCCAAAAAACCCATAAAAACCCAAAAAAGCCCGACGGGTTGGACTTTTAAAAAAAACCCGGGTTTTTTCCAACCCTCTGCCTGATTTTCTATCACGAAAAACCAGTACTGACGATGCTGTGACTGAGGTAACCACAGAAGAAGTAAATGACTTATCGAGTTTATTTCTTCCAAAATACCGATTGTGACTTGATTGAAAGCTCAGTAGATAATTGTCTCATTAATTGTCAAGATCATAAATCCATATTGAATAAAGAAATTTCCTATATTAACTATGTAGCACCTGCAAATGATGCTTCGTTGAATCAAGAAGTATCATCTTTCCAGCTAAACAACATGCGTCTAAAAGACGAAATTACTCGTTGAAAACTAATTCTAGAACGAGGACCAAGAACTGACACAGAGCAAGAATTTTTCAATGCTTATTTAGTGGATGATAATTTTTTATTTAAACGTGAAAATGAGTTAGTTGTACCTTACAACGTTATAGATCGCGTCTTATACTTTTATCATGATTCAACATTTGCAGGTCATCCTGGTTGAGACGAAACTTAAATTAGAATTTCTACATACTATTGGTGGCCAGAATTAAGAAGGGATGTATATATCAAAATATGTAAAAAATTGTTTTACATGGCTTATTGTAAAAGGTAGAAATATTCAAAAAATAGCACCAATGTCTGCTCGTATTCCAAATAATCCCACAGATATATTTAGTATTGATATTTTGGGACCTTATGAAGAAACTTTGAGTCACAATCGTTTTATTAATGTAGTTGGGGATCTATTTACGCGATGGTTAGAAGCCAAAGCTGTATCTTCAGCGATTGCTGAAGAAATTTTAAAGTTGCTTCATAACGAAGTATGTCTAGGCTATCCTTCTAAGATAATTTCAGACAATGGACCGCAATTTCATTCCGGTGTTTGGGAGAAATTTTGTCAATTACATTATTAATTGATCATGTGACAACAGCAATTTACCATCAACGTGCAAATTCAGTTGAACGTAGAAATCAAGAGCTTAAAAAAATCCTAAAAGTATTTTTAATTAATATCCCTCCGGAACACTGGGTCACTGGGACAGATATTTATCTAGAGCTCTTTTCAGTGAAAAGTTTTCACCGTACGAAATCGTACCAATGCCGCCACAGGAAGATCACCAGCGATGAGTCTTCTTTGATACACATTACCCCTTCCTGGAAATCATAATCATCCAAAGTTTAAAGTACCAGTTGTAAATCATGGTGTGCTCAGGGAAGAACGACTCAAAAAAATTCGTGAATGTCAAGATATATATTAGCGAGGTAATGTTGAAAATAAAGAACCAAGTGGAGTTTTCAAAAATCGCGACTTAGTAATTGCGCGACTACAAAAGGCATCAACCCATGAAACTTTTCATCCTGCTTGGGAAGGACCCTACACTGTATTAGGAAAGGTTTCTAATACTATTTATAATATCAAAAGAGATTATGATATAGTCAAAATTCATATATCTGTACCTCAGAGGTAAACTGTATTAAGTCACTTTTTTTTCGAAAATGGGTTTTTAGCTGAATACTACTTCTAATAACTTACTTGATCTCCGGAAAAAAATTTCATACACCTAGCTTTTAAGGTAACCGAAATACCCAGTTGGAACCTGTATCAGAGACTCACCAGGCTTAAAGGTAAATTGTACTAGAATCACTTAGTGTCTTATTTAGTATATTAAATTATAATATTATGACTTAATACAATTTACCTCTGAGGTATAGATATTGATGACCTTAGACCAATACCCAGCCCAGCAAAAGACATAATGAGCTTTGAAAAACAAGATCGTGGTATTATATCTGGATCATCTGAAGATTCAGACACATCAGATACTGATGATTCAGTATATGACCCATTTCACAACGGTTCAGAACCAATAACACGGAGACAGAGTTGGGATTCAGTTGTCTACACACCGAATCATGACTCATGCATATATGATGATATCCAAAATACATTGTATCAAAACATGGACGTAAATGATGCGCTATCAGATACTGATTTCAGACCATTAGAACCGACCTCTAATGTTGAAATGAGGCCTCGACCTAGAATCACAAGAAAAAGAGTACCTACCTCCCAAACATCTACAAGATTACAACTGCAGTTAGTAATCTTATAATCTACTAGTAATGTAATTTTTACATAATATTAAAAACAGATAGATATCCAAAATTAACTATTGTATGGTTTAATTTTTTTTCTTACATCACTCAGTATCAAACAGCTTAGCTAACCAGATCTAATAGATGGATGCACTAATTAGGTCGATTTTCTCCAAGAGCTGACCTTACCTCAATTACATGCATTCAAAACGACATTCGTCCTTTGTTCCACACTAGCAGATGCTATAGAACACTAGGAGAAAAAGCAATCATGCTAAAAACAATGGACGCAATAGAAATGCCCTATCACCATCAAATAGACTGAGGACTTCATGATTAACACCAATTCTACCATCTAGCCGGTTACCCAGTTCAGAAGAACGAAGAACCCTGAGTACTGATTTTCAACAAATAAACTATATTTAATGATAATAAGATTTCATCCCAGACTTCCAATAAAAATCATTCAACCAACTTCAACAGTTTCTGTTGAATAAAACTATCGACAATATGAACTTATTGCCAAGAAAAAATGTGGGCGCAGTTCAAACCACTTTATATAAAATAAATAAACTTTCTAAAAGGAAATTGTTCCACTAATAAACTGCCTAATATATCGGACAAACTGGCAATAATAATCCGCCAAATTGCCAAGTCTAATGGCAATAAAAATATCCATTTAGGAAATTCTTACATTACATGGGAGTATGGAATAGTGTTGTTTTTTACAATTATCGGTTAGTGAACCTTAGGGGATAGTTTCAGACTGTAGAAAATCATCAAGCAAACCAACATATCCTGGTCCCAAAAAAACGTTAATTATTTAAGCCATTGTATTCAACAACAGAATTTCGCGAACACAGTTCATTTATTATTATGTAAAACAGGTTTCCCCAAAATTTAATTTATTCGTCGTTTTATTGTAAGCTCGCTGCTGGCTGGAGGCCAACGGGAACATATGTGCGAAACTCGATATAAATATTTTTTTTTTTTTGAGCCAAAAGTCATCCATTCCAACTAATTATTCGAAGTTCAAGTTAAGATCGTTATCTGTTTTTGCACGTCGATAATAACATTTTTATGCTCCCTCCGAACGACTTGTTTTATCGCTTTGCGGCGCCCATATTCCATTTTTATTGTTTTCACAAGGTTTTTTTTACTACCCTCCCAACAAAGGTCAATACTTACGCCAGTCGGTTCCTGCTTGATCTTATCGTCCTCGCTTTCGCTGCAATCGCTCCTTTTGAACCGTTTCGGTGCCTTGTCCAAATCCAAAAGGTCCTCGCAGTCGCTGATAACAGGTTGGGTTTGTTTTCGTTTTTGTTCGATGGTCAGTTTGAGTCCTGCTTTGATTAGCTGCGAACAGGTGTGCTGGACGGAGGGTGGGTTGTGTCCTACAGGAGATTCCACCTAGAAAAGAAAAAGACATATTTATGGTTGATTCTATGATGATGGCTAAAATACTAACTGAACTACAAATGATTTATTTCAAAATCCTGGAATTGGAATTATTATATAGACCTCACTTTAGATTTAGCAGTAGTAATATCAAGATTAGTGGTTTCTCCAAGTTAGTAACGCTGTGTTGCATTGTTGACCAGCTGCAATGTTCATCTTCAAAGTTTTACTAGTTTCAAAGGTTCAATCTCTGAGCTATTTAAGCAACAATTTTCGGAAAAGCATCTCGAAATCATCCAAATCCTTTTGCTTTAACAACTTCAGTTCTTGCGAGAAGAAGAATTCGCCCAACAAGGAGCATCCATGTTTGTTAGCAAGAGACAACAGAAGCTCATCACCAATAAATAATTACAAGTTGTTCCGCCTTACAACTTTGAAGCAATTTGATCAACCTGTTCCATTCTGGAACCATCTTCAACTGAACTGTTCCTTCAGTCAACATTACTTCATCTTCATCAATGCCGCAATAGTTTGATAATTCTGTAAATGCGATAACCGTGCACTTGGGTTTTTCTTTTGAGAAGCAGTTTTCGCGATCGAAGATACATGGTCATGCCAAGACAAGTTGGTCGTTGCGGTTACCCGAAGAAGAGATACTGAGGGGTTAATAGAGAGGTGTTGTCCCGACATCCTTAACAACAGAAAGCGATCCAACACTGATGAGTCTATCGTATCATCTGAGTCTATTTTGTTAATTCACAAGCATATAGAAGTTAGAAATAGTGCACTAGGGTGTTGTTGATTGACAGGTTTTTGTCTAGTCTATTCTTGAAAATGTTCTTGTTTGGTGAGTTTATACTTTTTCGGTTCAGTAAGTTCCATCGGTATACTAATTTTTATTTGGTTTATACTTCCTTGAAACATGTTTACTGTTGGAATAAACAATTCCTGATTTTCTGAATGCACTATGTTCTAGTTAGGTTAAATTGATATAGGTGATGTAGTTTTTGTTTTAGGAAAAAAGAATGGTTCATTCTTGGTTCTTGGTCTGTGTGGAAGAAGGTAGATAGTCAAAAGGTTACTGGCCCAGTAAAAACTGTCTGGAAAGGCTGAAAAAGGGTGGAAGTAAATTGAAAAACCTTGTACACAGAAGATTATAATTACAGTGACGACTAACTCATCCAGTATCAAGAAAAGAAATAGGTGTAAACAGTCATGGCAAACAGTACCCAAGTACAGATAAAATCATTTGATGGGAAAGGATTTTCTAATTGGGAATTCAGAATGGAGTTGCTTCTCGAGCATCGTGGAGTTTTGGGGATGCTGATAAAGGATTCACCTGACGAGCAATCATCTGAGTATGTGAAGTTTAAAAAGGATGATGTCAAGGCTCGTAACTTGATAGTCAATAGTTTGGCTGATAATATACTCGAGATGATGAAAAGTATAAGGCTTCTGCCAAGGAAATGTTATAAGAATTAGGTGGAGCATATACCAAGTCTGGCATAGTCAACCAAGTAAGTTTACAAAGAACATTCAGAACATTAAGATATGATGGAATAAATCCAAGGTGGATCAATCCAGAGATTCTTGGATTGATCCACCTTGGATTGATATTATCTGCAATGCCTGATAAGTATCAAAATGTGACTACAGCAATAGACATTTTGTATTGTTAGGAACCCAGTAAAGTGACTCTAGAATTCATTAAGGGTAGACTCTTGATGGAAGAAGAAAGATAAAATAAAAATAAGTATGAACCAAAATATCAGAGTGAAAGGTCAGAGGTGTTTCTATGATATAAAGGAAACTTTGAGCAACATTTTATTCCAAGGGAACAAAATTGGAAACAAAAGGAAAATGAAAAGACCTACAATCCCTGAAAATTTCAGCTCATTTGCGCCTATAGTTCCTGAGATAAAATCGTGTTAAGCAATTTGGGGTGATTTATCAATTTTTCAATTTTTCTGAGTGCCTTTTTTCATAGATTTCGGCTTTAAATCTGAGAATAATTTAGTGTATGGAGTTTGGGCTGTTATAGGATACAAAATCTCAACAAAAAAAAATTTGAAGTTTCATCGTTTTAGTAAGAAGATTTAGAAGAATGAATGATTTTGAAAAACTTTGGAAGGGCATAGCTTTTTAGATAGAAAGCTGAAATTTTCACTGAATCTTATCTCAATAAAGGGACTACAATCATCAGATTTGCAAGAAGAAATATATTCACCAGTCGCAAGGATGTTAACCATCAGAAATCTCTTATCACTTAGTGTTCAAAAAGACTTAAAAATCTACCAACCTGATTTTAAGTGCCCATTTCAATGGTGTATTGAAACCACAGGTTTATATGGAAGTGCCAAAAGGTCTAAAAGAAATTCCAGAGGGAAGTGTGTACAAGCCAAACAAATCTTTACATGGTTTAAGAATTTAAGACATTCACCTAAATACTGGTATGATAAACATCAACATTTGATCATCATAGGTTTGGTAAGATCTTTGGCAGATCCTTGTTCATATTACAATGATGAAATGTTTTTGTTGATGCATGTTTATGATTTAATCATTTTGGTGTGGAGTTGAAATTTGAAACCAAAGGAAGACTTTCCAAAATCAACTCCTTCATAAAGTTCAAGTATTCTGAAATAAGGTTCTTTGCAATTGTCTATGATGAGTATGATGAATACATGAAGGATATAGAATCTGATGTTGTTTTTGAGTTTTTTTGTTTTCAAACAAATTGAATGATTCTAAGCTGATCTTCATTATCATTTGTGAAGGATGTGTAAAATTCACAATATTCTTGGCTAATATCATTTGAATATCTTGTCCAGAGTGATATGGTTTTCTTTATCAGTATATTTTTGTTTGATTGTTTTCTTCTCTTCTTTTTGGGTTCATCTTTATCTTCCTCATCCCACTTGCTTGTTTTCTACAAGCATTTTGATTTGATAACCAATAAATTGAAAGTACTTTTGACACTTCCATAATTTTTGTTGTTTTCTTCCAAATATTCAGATTGGTTTTCTCAGTCAAGTGTTTCTCTATATCACAACGACAGGACGAATTGTAAAACTGTTTATAATTGTGTTTAGTGTTGTTAAAAAAATCCTTCCAGAATCCATCTGGATAGTTTAAAAATATATACTACAAGGACTTTTTTCACGCTCGTGCACATGTACGCTTCTAGTTCGTTTTAAAATCCGACGTATGTTGATTTATAACATCAAAATCCTCTTTCTTTATCATCGATAATGCCGTTATCAGCAAGACAAAGAAGATAGCGTGAGTGAAGAGGTTTTAAGAACTTGTACTAAAGAAGACTGAATGAAAAACTTCAAACTTCATCGCCTGTTAAAACTCAGATGAAGAATACGAAACTATTCAAGCATTTACCAAGCTGCAAATGAAGCACTAAGTGGAATAGAAGGAAACCCTAAATACCTATACTGGTGGAATGAAGATAATGGAGAGAAAGAGAGGCTAAGCAAAGACATATTGACAATTAGGTTTGCGGATCCAGTATTTTGGACTTCCTCTACTAGGTCGACCAGACAAGTTTTATTAACTACAGGACATCATTGATCCCAGTTCTTCGTTAATTTGATGATTTTCATAGTCCCTTCAGCATTGATCTCTTCAAATTTCTATGTAGTGTTCTGAGCTTATTGTGTAGATGCAATAATTGTAATAATCCTTTTATTTGCTAGTAGATTCACATTGCTCTTCTATGAGCGTTTCAAGATGGAGTGATTATCTTTTTATCTACCATTTTGATCTCGTTCCTATCCTGACATTTGTATTCCCAGGAGAGGCAAGGTATGAAGTTGGTCATGAACTTTGATGTTCCTCCATCGTATGCTTTTCCAACTGCTGCTATCATCATAATAGGCGATCACTCGATACCGGGAGACGATTGTATCGAAAAAAACCATATCAGAGTGAACCAGATTACAAAGAGCGCAAAACAAATCATGGATTAAATAATACCAAAAAATGGACTCATGAGAGGTTAAAGATGCACGGACACTTGGAAATTAATGGAAGAACTAGCAGAGTTTCAAGATGAAGATAAACCGATATGATCAATAACCCTTCTGGAGGTTTGTATAACTAAATCTAAAGAACGAAAAAGCTTCTGAACCATGTAATATTTCGGCATTAAATATGGCACAGAATAGAACTGTTTTCTTCGTATACAGAAAATAATGATAGTTGCAGTACTTCCATGCCATAGTGAACGACATTAGAGCTAAACGATTATTGTTACGGACGGGCATGTACAAAGAATGAAAAACGATAGAGTACCAAAACAAATCCTATACATATCTTTCTTTCTTCCTTTTCAGTCCGTATTCGTCCACTTCTGGATATAGTTCTTTCTTGCTATTTTCTGGTTATCTTCTCGCCATCTTTTGTGGGGTCTTCCGACATTTCTCTTTGTTTTTTCTTGGGCGCCATACTATCAATCTGTTGTCGTGCTATATGGCCAGCCCATCGCCATTTCAGCTGTGTTGTTCTACGCACCACATTCGCCTGATTTCGTCATTTGGCACTCGATCTCTCAAACTAATCCTTGATGATCCTTTCCATTGAGCTCTGTGTATGTATAGATCTTCAGGTTAAGGTCATTGTTTCCAAGAACTGGTAGTATGCATGAATTATAGACTTTTCGTTTGAAATTTTTGGGTATATCGTCCGATCCGAGAATAAACCTGAGCTTAACAAAGTCCCTTCCTCCGAGAGATTTCGGCCGTTCGATTTTCATCACTGTATTTTATGCCCGAAATATCTAGGGTATGGTTTTCTATGTTTATTTCTGTTGGTAAAGGGCTCATTATTTTAGTTTTACTCAAGTTCTTCGTTAATTCTACTTGTTGCGGAAATAACCCACAACAGGTTAAATTTTTATTATTTCTAATTTAATATAATTTTTTTCTCTATTATTTACCATAAAAATAATATTCTAAAAATAGATGCTGGATGCTGGACTATTTATCCTGTAAAACCGGCAACAACAACCCTTTCAACCGGTAAAATTGCAGGTTTCTTCATTACCTTATAAGGTAGTGAACCTGTCTCGCCGCCGTGATTGGTCAGCCACCACACAAAATCCCTAGTTTTTGCACCTACTCCCCTGGCAGAGTCTAGAGTCTAGTCGACGCACATTCTTCAGTACTATTAGAATAAGCGAAGAGTTCACACCCTCGCGCCCCCTGATGCTCTCCAGAAGCAAAACCCTCAAAAATCCCAGTTAGTACGCGCGATTTATAGTAAAAATACTACTCTCTGTGTCTCAAGGCCTGACATGGTCTATATTATTGATTACAATTCATGTAATTAACCCCTTATTGTTTCAAGTCACCTCGGACGAGCAAAATTCTCTCCTACGCGATTTTTTTTGGCTCTCTCACTCTCGCCGGGCTCCAACGCGCCTGTACATTGTTGTGTTTTCAAGTTTTCATCTCAGTGGAAAATTCCCTAGCTGCCAGTGTGAATAGTGATAAATGGATAAATAATCGCCTTGTGGATTTATCTGCATGAACCGGATTTAGCAAGTCGACAATAAATACTGATTAGTATTTCGCTTGAAATGCACTATAAATTGAAGTGTCTTCTCTAACGCTTATGCAGAGGTTTGTTTTCATACTCGTGAAATTAACATTTGTATATAGAAACTGAGCATATATAAAGACTTTTCTTGCACATATTGTTCACAGACTTCCGCAGAAAAGTGCTCAAATTGTTAACTCTCAATAAATAAAAGAACTTTTAAGGATCAATAAACATTGTGTGATTACAGTGAACTGATTGAAGTTGATGAATTATTTATGTTGTGCTCTAGTGCATTTGATTACTTAATTTCATTATCAAATTTCCCTACCCTTTATAAATCAAGATACTCATTTACTCTAGATTAGTATAAAATTTGTAGTTCGACTGGACGTCCAATTAGAAATTTTTAAACAGGATTTGATTGCTGACTATACAAAATTACTTTCATGTATTAATTAAATTGATAATTATTCTATTTCAGCGTTTTATTTATATAAATGAAAATCAAGGCAACCCCTAACCCAATACAAGGCTTAAATGATCCAACACCGAATGGTTAATTTTTCCAGTCAGTCAAAGTAAAAACTTTTGGCATCCTTGGTGCGGTTTGACTAAAGCCCAAAAAGGGGCAATAGCTAGTTCCGTCACACTACTTGTAGGGACGCTCTATGGAGTTCTTCTACCATCATCTCCAGTTCTTCAATAGTATTACTAATAAGAATGATGTCGTCTGCGAATCGCAAATATGTCAGTCTTTTTCCATTTATATCAAATAACCAATTCCTTTATTGTATCTTCTTGTCATATTCCTCTATCATATTCCTTCTATTATGAAATTTGAGTATCTAGAGTCAATTCTGGCATAATCTGGTGACCTTAAGATTGCCCACGTTTCAATAACGTCAAATGCTTTCTGGAAATCGATAAAAGCCAAATGTAGGGGTAGGTATATTGTACTCTGCCGCCTTCTCGATTAGTATGATAGGGAAACGAGTGAAAATTGGGAATCGGAAGCTTGTAACAACATAGTAAAATGTAGTTTTGCAGCTAACACTTCTCTGAGATGAGTGTTAATGTTGCAGCTAATTTTTCTACTTTTCAACTTCACATAAGGCTTTTTCTACAGGAGAATCAAGAATCAAGTTGAACTTCTGTCAGCTTCACTTCTACAAGATCAAACTGTTGAATATTGGTAGAAAATGGCCTTGAAACAATAATATCAACTCTGGTTGTTATTATTTATAGTGTTCTAGAACCTTTATTTACAGCTATTTTAGCATTTCTGTCCTGACTTTACTACTCTTTACTGGACCTCAAACCTGCAAACATATTGGTGTGTGAAAAGGGCCCTTTAACGTTTCTGTGATATTAGGATACTTTAGTAGCTCCACCAAAGGCTTATTTGCTGCGAACTCACTCTTCTTTGACGTGAACCAAAGTTTCTGCAAGTCTTTGTAAAACAAGATTTAGTTAGTAAATTCATGTAGAAGTACTGGAAATTTGACTCCACTTCAATAACCTCTGGTTCAGTAGCAGTAAGGCATATTGAAAACTTGTCTTGAAAGAAGTTGACAAAAGTAGATACTTATTACATTGTGTCCAGACTTAATTTACTAAAATACCAATACCCCAAATTCTCACCTGACTACTGCTGGAACTATTCGAATCGCTACTGGTACTAGCTGCGGGCGGTACAGAGCTTCGAATTTTTGGCGCCACTTCGCCGAAATGGTACCCGTCCAGTGGATTCGTCATGGCGATGAGGGAATTTAAAATTTCCGGCGTTCTCGGAGTGGTACCTCCGCTTTCCACCAGAAGATGGTTGACTGCAGTTGCCGCGGTAGCGGCCAAGTTAACGTTCAAGTTGTGCATGATTTTTTATAATTCACTTAATTATTAAACTTAAAAAAGAAATCACAGAATTTAAGGAGTTTGTTTTAGTCACAAAATCACTTGATTATTTCAAAGGTATATCAGCTGGTAGTTGTTGGAAGTTCTCTGGAAGTGATGGGGCTGAAACAAAAAGATAAGATTATTGTTAATTGAAATGTATGGTACTGTCACGCCTTGTGTATGTTTTCTTTTTTATTACATTTCCTGGCATTCGCTCAATTCTGGCTCGCCTTGTTTATGTTTATCGCGATTAATGACCATAGATATAGACAATAAAAATGTTTATCTGACCCATTTTTCATTGTGACGAAAATTTTGATGAGCTCGTTCTAATTATAATTTAATTTTGTATTGGGAATTTAAACATTTTTGTTGCTTATTAATTGCCGTAATAAATTACCAATAAAGATAGAGGATAAATATGTAATTTATCGATGTTTTTATGCAAGGTCTTTTCAAATTGCGGCCCGGGGGCAATAAAATTTTAGATAAAAATTGTTTTTTTTTTCTTGTATTTTGTTACCCAGTTATTTTGATAAAAATATTCAAGCAAGCTCTCAGTTGAAAACCAGTATTCCATTAATTATAAATAGAAAAAAATCTATTCACGATTCACAGACAAATAAATTCGATTCAACAATGGAATAGAATGCTAATAATAATTAAACAAAACGAAAAAATACTCTCGAAGGTATAAAGTTAAGGACACGAAACAATAATAGGCTTTTGTCGATTGAGAGGCGTTAAGAACGCACAAAAATAATCAATCAAGGTAAAGCAATCATCATTATTTAACGGCTAAATCCTCTAATGTGTGCAATTACTGTTTAAATAATTAGCGAGATCGTTTATTATACATACATATATATTATGTATTACATATATTAAATAAATTGCTCGAGCGTGCGTGCATGTGTATGTTATTAAATATAGATAAAGCTACACTTTCAAAAGTGCAGTTTGTTTCAATGTCCTTAAATTTGCAATTTGAAGGTTTTTGAGCCCTTTAATTAGTTGTTTCATAGAAGAACACATTTCTCTGTGAAATTGTGTGGAACAAGTTCTACATCTGAAGCAATTTCACCAATACTACTGAAAAGTAGAAGTTATTAGTAAAACCTACAGTTCACGTTTTGTTCCATATTTCAAGGCAAAAAGCCCAGAGTAGAGCACTGTTATAGCATGAATTTGGAACATTTTTTGGTTTTCAAAGAAATTATGAACCCCACTGGAAACGAACGTTTAAGAACTTTTTAATGTTAGTAAACTATGTGAGGTCTTCAGTTTACCAGTCTATTAGTGAATGTATTTCCTACATAGAAGCGGTCGCCATACCTACTCGAAAAGTTATATGTAAAAACACAAAGAGAAATTTTTGCTTGTCATACTTTGTCCACTAGAAAACAGCAAGTAAGTGAATCTATAGACCAGTACATACAATTAGGACTGTAATTTTAGAGCAGTCACTACTGGAACAGAATCAAAATGACTAACTAGAGATTCATTTATTCGTGGTCTAGCCACATCTCACATTAAGCAAAGACTTTTAGAAAATATGACTCTGAACCTAGAAAAATCAGCTATAGATCTTAAAAAATGGCTCAACAATAGTCAGAATATTATACCTCTGACCTGACATAATTCGATTGTATCAAATCGATCATCCACTTATGTTCAACATTCAAAATGAACGAAAGGATATAACACGTACAGCAAATTACTTCAAAATGTTATTTCTGTCGAATAAACAGACATATTAGAGCTAGTTGTCCAGCAAAAGATGGAGTCTGTTATTCCTGTGGAAAAATTGGTCATTTCACACAAGTATGTATCAAAACATCAAAAAACAATCTCATGATTCAAATAAATCTTCAGCTGTCATGATTGGAATGATGTCAGCAGCCTCAACATTTTGACTTATCGCAGGCTATCCAAGTCAATCATATTCCAACCAATGAAATAATTGATACTGGAAGCTCGGACAATTATGCAAGTCTCAGAAACTATCACCACACAAAGTCATATCAAAGTGTTTCCTACGAATTTAAATGTCACAATGGCTGTTTCATCTTTAAATTCTCCTGTTTGTGGATACTGTATTGTAAATATAAAAATATCAGATCATATATGAGTATAAAAATATCAAAATGTATATCTTGGAAAATCTTTGTTCTGGTGTTATAATATTCTTCACAATGATTCAGGAGTAGAATTCAGTTTTGGTGGAAATCAATCAAAACTTGCTATACTTATCTGTAATCTATGTATTAACAGAAAATTGCCAGCCTTTTTTGCTATTAAGTCTAAATAGACGGTTTTCTAATGATGACTACAGATTTATAGAAATACAAATAATACCCACAAAGATTATTGAAAGGAAACACCATGGGAGCAAGTAATTCACCTTGAAGAGCACAAGTTTTGGTGACAAGCAACTGAAAACATGTGAAACCCATGGTTGTTGATTACTCGCTGGCAATCAACAAGTTCACTTTATTTTTGATAAATGCATATCCACTCTACCTAATATTGATAGTATTATCAGTCAAGTTTCGCAATACGAATATTTTAGTTCTATAAACTTACGTAGTGCGTACCTGTAAAATATCCTTAGTTAATAATTAGTAGATTCATCAAAGAATTCAGGTTTTGGGGAAAATTATATTGACATTAAAAGTCGTTGATGTACAAAGAACTGTGGAGTGTCTTGTAATTCCAGAACACTTTCCAGAAGTTCCGCTATTCATTGGCCAAACATTTACTGAACAGACAGGATACTTAAGGCTAGCGATAGATAACTTGAAATTCAGTGAACTTCAACAACCTAAAACTTTCAAGAAAATTGAACTATGGCTACTAGAACCAATCGTAGTTCCATCAAACCATGTTGGAAATTTGAAAATCATCAGTAAAATTCCATTTCAGGGAAACCTCTATGTTGAAGCAAGCTTCAGATGTCAACTTGGAGCCGAATACGCTATTCCTAGAATATTAATCAATCTGGCCGAAAACCAAACAGCAGTTATTGTCCATCTATTAATAAGAGCCGTGCCTTGTGAATTAGATATTAGCAATACCTTTGAGCAATTTCTAAGATTGGACATTAGCCAACTTCCATTATTAAAAGAAAAAGATATTAACATTGGTATTACTGATCCAATCCTACGAAAGAAACTAATGACGCTTAATTCTTCAAGAATATAGAGACCTTTTTGGGACAGTAAACTGAGCATCTTGGTGAAGGTAGATCCGCAGAACTAGAAATAAAACTTTTAGAAGACAAACCTTTCACCTACAGACCTTACCGAATGGCTGAACCGGAAAATTAAAAAGTAAGGGCTAAATTAGAACTTTTGGGCGCAGGAATAATTTGGGAATCCGATGTATCATACGCTTCTCCCGTGTTACTTGTTAAGGAGAAAGACGCAGAAGACCGAATGTGCATTGATTAGCGAAAATCAAACCTGGAAACAATCAAAGATAGATTCCCCCTACCTCGAATCGATGATCAAATATGTAAGTTGAAAGGATGTTCCATTTTCAGTACCTTAGACCTAAGTTCTCTGGATACCACCAGATACCTATTGCTGAACAAAGTAAACATTTAACATCATTTATAACACCAGAGGGACGATATGTATACAATCGGATACCATTTGGTTTATGCAATGCTCCAGCAGTCTTCCAATGCATGATAAACAAGATCCTGGCTCCATGTCGCAATATTGCTGCAGTTTACTTGGATGATGTCATTTTACCCAGTACAATTCCTGAAGAAAATTTAGAAAGCATTCGGAAAATAGTAGATGAGAACTTAATATTGAACATTAAGAAATGTGTCTTGCTCGCCATGTCCATAAATTACTTAGGCTTTGAAATAGACGAACAAGGTGTGCGACCTGGTGCAGCAAAAATCGATACTGTACGACAATTTACAACTCCCAAAACTGTACGTCAATTTTTGGTTTTAGATAAATTTGTTCAAGATTATGCTGAAAGACCTCTAACATCACTTACGCGAAAAAACATCCGGATGGAATTGGGGCGCATTGGAACAGATGGAATTTGAAAATCTTAAGCAGAAGCTTATTGAACGGCCCATCCTTGTAATTTATGACCCAAAGATGGAGACATAAGTACATATAGATGCTAGCCAGGATAAGTACATATAGATGCTAGCCAGGATGGTATAGCCGGAATATTACTGCAAAAACGTGATTCCCAACTTAGACTAGTGGCCTATTATAGCCTACATACCAACAAGGCAGAAAAGAAATACCATTGCTATGAACTGAAGACCTTGACAGTTGTAGAAACATTATTAAAGTTCACAGTTTATTTGTTAGGGCTGGATTTCAAAATAGTGACTGATTGCAACGCTCTGAAAATGGCAATCAGCAAAAGAGACATAATACCTAGAGTCGCGCGCTGGTGGCTGCAGTTGCAAGAGTACACTTTCACTGTGAAATATCGTCCTGGAAAATGGATGCAACACGTCGAAATCCGAGTTACTCTGAACAACCACCTAAAGGAGATTTCATTTTTAGAATTGAAGAGGCAGATCGGATTCTATCTGCTCAACTGTCAGACGTAAAGATTCGTCTAATCTATGATGTCCTTAAAAACCACCAGAAACTGACCATGATCGGGAAGTTTATAAAAAATATGCTTTGAGGAATGGACGTGTATACCGCATTACTCCCATAGGTATACAATGGGTTGTAGGTACCACATGGGTTCAGGAGACAAATCAGTGTCGGACTGGGGGTCATTTGGCCCACCGGGCAAATGGTGAAGTGGCCCACCCAACCAACCCAAACCCCATTCAATAAAAACAATTTTGATAATCACTAGTTGAATCTGGTACCTACCTAGTTATAGGCATACAAAAAATAGGTACCTACCCTACGTACTTAAGGTTGACTGCACATACCTGCTTATATTATAAAACTTTAAAAAATATTGATGTTTGTATGGAATGTTTGCAATAAATGGTTTATAATAATAATAACGATAATAATAATAATCTTGAATATATTTTAACCGGATTGCCCCCATTAGTATAATGTCAAATTTTCAAAAAATGTCCGCATACAATTTTTCATATATGTATGTACAAG